TAAATTCCATTTTAAATGATGAATCATTTCAAGTCTGAAAAAAACACTCGAATGAAAACAGGTATACGTGTAAGCCTTCTCAGAACAGATACAGTTTATGATTATTCATTTTAACAAGTTAATGTTTCTGTGAGCTAGGACCGAGGATGCTCTGTAAATGTCGACCGATTTACTTTGATGGGGCGGTTTTTTCGTGTTTTTGCTGCCCCCCTTCTGCATGACGATCCTCGCTATACCCCCAACATCCCATAGAACTTTTACGCGGTAATTCTATCGCTCGCAATACTGACTATTGGTATAATACGCGCAAAAACAACCATTTTGTGTCATCTTTTTTCGGAGATGGCACCGAACGGGTTAAACCTCGCGGTCGGTGACATAGAAACCTACACATGTTCTGTGGTCATTCCGCTTTGATATACCAGCTTGACTGCGGACAAATCACCAAACCATTAACGAAGAACCTACGCATAACCCTAATCTAAAGTGTGATGTGGCTTCCGGTGTTTTCCGTAAGTGAAAACAATATTGTCACTCGAAAAAAGAAAGCGCGCTCTTTAAATGACACACGATCTATAATTCAATAAAAGAGCGATCGTGATTTTAGTTTAATGCTGTGCATTGCTGTCTATGTATAGGGAGTCGTCTCACTATAAAGGAGTTTAAGTCTTTCGGCGAATTAAGGAACGAGGACATGTCAAGCATTCCCAAGCAATCGAGAATGCGAATAAGACCATTGCTAACGGTCACTCTGATTATAGGCAAGCTATTCGATTGACAGGGAGCACAATATGATGTTAAAGGATCTTATAGGAATTGAAGTAATATATAATTATTCACATGCAAATTGTACTAAACACTGTATGAATTCCAGAACGGTTCAATGTGTATCACTATAAAAGCTACAACCCATATTCATTTATCTTACTCTCTCCTTCTCCCTCTCTCTCTCTCTCTCTCTCTCTCTCTCTCTGTTTCTCTTTCTCTATACCGTATCCTTAATCCTCCCAATCCCATCACCAACTTCTCCAATCTCCATACACCTTTCCCCAAACCAGCCTTTTGATTCAAATTCTCTTCTTTCCCAAGAGGAAGTCTTGATTAAACATAAGTGCCATGCAAAATACATTAGCGTTCACCCTTGGATATGTAGACACAACAATAGCCACTGCACATTTTAAAAGCGACTGCAGACCTATATTTTATTTGAAGAGGAAAAAGGCGGGGGAAAAGGCAGATAAGATATCGAAGACAAGAAGGACAAGCGGAAAGTGAAAGGGAAAATGGAAAACACATAATATGTGAAGGTTATTGAATGGTTATAAAAGCTGTGACAGACGATAGAAGGAGTAGGAGAAATGGACAAGAAAAACGGACTTGAGTGGAGACGAGAATATGTCCCCAAGCCATGGTGTGAAATCCAGCTAAATGCTCTTGATCAGATTAAAGACCAAATTCCAGTCATTTTTCTTTTAACCTTTCTGCGCGACATGTACCTAATCATGCTCTCGATTCAATGCACCGGCACGAGGCGTGCAATGGTGATTGGCGGTCTTATGTCTTTATTATAAAATAAAATTATGCTCCAGCCTCAAGGACGTTATCGTTGGGGGGGGGGGGGGGGTGGGGCTCATAGTGTTTCAGTTTCCTGTTTTAATTTGTCACAGAATTTGACCCAAATATTGCAAAATCCTGAATTAAGCTCTATTTAATCATGGACCTTCTTATGATATGTCCATGATTCAATGCAAGGCACATCGGCTTGCCCAAAATGACGGCGTAGCGAAAGACAAATTATGTCGTAATTACACTATGCTCATCGATCGAGGTCATGGAGGGGGGGGGTTGGGGGGATGGGGGGGGGGGGGGGTGGGGGGGGGGGGGGGGGGTGGGGGGGGGGGGGGGGGGGGGGGGGGGGGGGGGGTGGGGGGCGGGAGCACGACGGAAAAACGAAAGATTCATGCATGGCTGATTGTCAACGAAACGGAGTTAAGTATGTTGTCAATTCTGCATGTTGCTATGGCAGGCACCCAGTGAAAACGAATTCGTTTGATAGAATTATGGAAATGCAAGCACTACTTAAAACAAACAGAACTTTGTCATTCCTTGCTCATTTTTCCTGATTGAGTGTCATATGAAAGGGCAGAACCTCAACTTTCTAGAAATGTGATTTTTCTCTTTGAAATTCAGATACCGTCCGCCAAATGAATTTTTGGTTTCCTCTCTTCAAATTCATTTTAATCACTCATGCGTGAAATATGCACATATGAGTTGCAGCAAATGAAAGAGGAGGATCTAAGCTTTCCAATATGTTTAATTTAGTAATTATAAATGTGACTACGTTATGATAAAACTACGATAATTCTCGGTTTCGTTTTTTCTGGGACGCACTGTATAGGGCAGTGCAATAGGGGCTCACGCTTAAGAGATTAAGTACGCTCAGTGCACACGTTGGCACCTCCCCCTCCCCCATTTGAAAAATCTTTGATCCGCCGATGCATTTGCTTTCTGAATAGCTTTTCCCCAGGTTAATTGGGAATTCTAATGTTTCAGAGACGCATATATTAGGAACGTGTTAATCGAGTTTACTTCTTTTTTCCCCCTTTTTTTCTTCAATTTCCTTTTTATTTCAATTTTATTTTTATTTTACAGATTAACGTATCATGAAGAGCTCCAGGGCCCCCCCCCCTAGCCCCAAAAAACGATTAAAAAAATTGGATAATAACTTAAAGTTAACCTTTTTTAAAACACAAAACAAAAGCCCCCCCCCCCCCCCCCAAAAAAAAAAAAAAAAAAAAAAAAAAAAAATGATTCACCGACCGGCTGGGTGGACGCTAAATTTTTCCTCCAAACTCAATCAAAAAGGGAAAGAAGAAAGGTGCTCTCCCCCCACCCCCCCCGACTTATTCGCCGGCTGAGTCAACGCTAAATTTGTATTAAGATTTGGCTCCCCGCCCCCCTTGTCGCCGGCTGGATCCTCTGCAGGCGCGGAACCACGGGGGGGGGGGGGCTGACGGGTCAACATTGTTTCAAGTAGGGGGGGGGGGGCTGACGGGTCAACAACAGCAAAAAAAAAAATTTCTCACGAAGAAGGCCAAAAAAAAAACCAAAAGTTTCTTACCCATCCCCCTCCCCCCCCCCCCCCCCCCCCCCCGCTTATTTACCTGCTGGCTGAGTCTGGGTAAAATATTTCCTGAAAAATTGGACACAAAAAAGTGCTTGCTACCCCCCCCCCCCCCCCGCTTATTCACCGGTGGTTGAGTCGCAACTAATATTTTCTCACGGATTGGCCCCCCCCCCCTCTTCCCGCTGGCTAGATCCGCCACTGAAGAGCTCACAATGTGAAAACAGATCGTGTCAAACAGATTTATGTACAATTGTTATTCAGGCATATTCCTAATATACACTGTCGCTCATAAAGTTGGAATATTGTTGTTTTACCCCAGTTTATGGAATTATTTTAAAAATAATTAAAAAATAATAGATCTAGATATCACATTCTCAGATTTTATTGAATAATAATTTGACAATGTGTGTTTTGCGTGACGGCTAAAGCATGTATATGCTATCAACTAGAGGGCCTACCGCTGCGTCATGGTTCAGTGACAAAGAAATGGCCTCGTAACTGTGAGGCCCCAGGACCAAAACCGTGTCGATGTGCTATATCAGTGCCCTTTTGTGGGGCATTAATTCTCATTACTGTCATTTATGACTTAGGGCGTAGGTCTCCTAGTTGATAAGCAGAGTATCATACACATGCTTTAGCAGTCACGCAAACACACATTGTCAAATTATTATTCAATAAATTCTGAGAATGTATACTATTATCTAGATCTATTATTTTTAAATCATTTTTAAAATAATTCCATAAATTGGGGTAAAACAAAAATATTCCAACTCAATGAGCGACAGTGTATGATAAAGGGTTTATCTTTTAGTATGCAAACTTTTATCATCGGTTAATTTAAATCATAGTATAGGCCTAATTGCCAAGCTCAATCTAAGCTTTTCAATTTAATGCAGTGGAAAAGCTACGGGAGGGGAAGGGGAAGCAAGGGAACTAAGCCCTATCCCCAAGAAATAGAGAGGAGTGAAATGGACATTAGCCCCCGCCAGGCTCTCCCCATTTTTTTCCTCAAACATTTTTTACCCCTGACATTTTGTCCGAAAACAAACATTTGATTTTTATTGCTTGTATGATATAACACTTACAGCACGTAAACAAAGATGCGAATTAATGTGTAAATGATTTTTAAATGTGCAATGTTGAATGTGAAAAAGAGCCTAATAATTACTCGCCTCTTCCTTCTCTGGAGCTGCCTCAATTATTACAAAGCCGCATGTAGGCGTACAGAGACAGTTTGCATGGGCTCTTAATTATCGGTTAATCAAAAAAAAAGAAGAAAAGAAGACGATTTTAAAAATACAAGTAACTTCCTCCATGTCTGGTTGCCAGAAATTACCAAGTCACATAAGTCAGAAGAAAGAGAAGAAAAACAAGAAGAACAGGATGAAGAAAAAAAAATAACTTGGAGGAAGAAGGTGATAGAAGAAGAAGGAGAAGAAGAAGAAAAAGAAAAAGAACATAACGAAGAAGAAGAAGAAGAAGAAGAAGAAGAAGAAGAAGAAGAAGAAGAAGAAGAAGAAGAAGAAGAAGAAGAAGAAGAAGAAGAGAAGAAAAGAAGAAGAAGAAAAAGAAGAAAAGGAAGAATTAAGAAGAATGAGATTAAGAAGAAGAAGAAGAAGAAAAACAAAGAAGAAAAAGAAGAAGAAGATCAGAATTGGTCAACTTGATCAATGCGTAACACATTCGCGATAAAGAAGAACATGGCATTGACATAATGTCTTAATCAATAACATTAAGTATTCAACAATACAATCTACCTGCACTGACAATCAATAGCTTTTATCATGTTGCCCAAACTGAGATCTCTTTATTCAATGGGCTTGACATGGAAAACCATGTACCACCAGCGGACGTTACCGAGCAACCAGGGTCATGTGACCAATCAATTTACCACGAAAGTCAAGATGGCGGCCGACAGGGCCTCGACTAAAAACTTCAACTTTTCAATGAAAATTGACATAATGTTAGCCAGAAGATAGATTATTGTCTTCACTTTTAGTTTAGAATAGCAGATACAGGTAATATCAGCAATTTTACGAACAAAGGTAAGTTGGTAATAATATGAATTCGATGATCTTTAAAGTGAAATCAATGTTTACGTCCTGTTCGTCGCTCTTTCCTCTGCGATTACGCGGCCAACCCGATCAGACCTCTGCTTCTCGAGCGACGGCCCAAAGGCTAGGCCGGGCCGCGCCTGAGAGGAGGGATCTGACTTGACCGTCCGTAGTTCCCGCATGACAGCAATTCGCTCACAGTTATCTCGAAAGAAGAAAAAAAACGGAAAGATAAAAAAAGGGAAACAAAAATAAGTTCAAGTAGGGTCTAGACTACAGACTTCACTTCAATACAGCCAGGACTCAAGACCCAAGTCTATTCTAGATCTAGTCTAGACTAGATCTAGACAAAGATTGATCATGATTGATTTGAAACGAAATTGAAAGAGTCGGAGTCAGACTGCACAATTTTTTGATAGGCCTATTTTGTAAATATTTCAAGTAATTTCCCACCCAATTCGAAAGGAAATTTCATCACTGGACTTTATGTATTACTATTAGTTTTGTTTCCCTTTTCATCTTTCTAATTTTTTTCTTTGAGATAACTGAGTGTGAGCGAATCGTTGTCACGCGGGAACTATGGACGGTCACGCCAGAAATCCGGACTTGGGAACAGCTCGGCCTCGCTGCATAAACTGTATTTTTTTTTCGTCATTTTACCCTAACCTTAAAGGCCCACTGCACTACTTGTAGCTACTTGCGCCCTCTATATAACAAACAATGCCTAATCGGTGACCATTGGTCCCCCATGATCCTCTTTTTCTTATGTTAACTGAGAGCTGAGTTGATGAGATAACCACCTGTCCAGTGACCTTGCAGGGCGCTCTAATCCCTCCTGTAAACTACGGCAGATAAGCTTTAACCCAAACCATAAACCTAACCTAACCCTAACCCTAACCCTAAACCAAAGTTTAAACCTAACCCTAAACCTGCAAAAAGTGAGTTTTTGCAGTGGGGCCGAGTTGTCCCCAAGACCTAGTTAACCCTCCATTGAAGTTGTAGTTCTTCTTCTTCTTCTTCTGTTGAAGTACAGGCCACCATGATGTTGGTGTACATATCTTTGTACTTTGAGGTTCTCTATGTAGTCTACTGTGCTGTGGAAGATCTAATCTTAGTCTATTTAAAAAGAACAGGCGCAATATTAGTTGTACTGGTCTGGAGTCTTGCGTCTGTTTAGAAGAAAAAAAATATGAACTTGCCGTTGAATGACATTGACATTGTATTGTAACAAGGCTAGAGGTAGGGTCAGGAAATCTTCATTTAAGTCAATGTCATCAAATTTGTAGAATCTAAAGTAAAAAGTGCAAGACTACAACTACGGCAAGTAGCTAGACTAGAGGAGTAGAGCTAGATTGAAGACAAAGTTGCAACTGCATTTTATGAAATTATCTTCCTTTACCATGTTTGGTGGATCAACTGTTAACTCTTACTGAGGCAACAAAAATCTCATTGAGGTTTCCTTTATTTTTCTGAAATTATCATAATTTACAAATTGGGATGAAATTCTCATCTGTCAAATTTAAAAAAAAAAATTAAAAAAAAGATTTACAAGTTTAATACATGTGCGAAGCTTAGTTCACCCATTCAATTGGACACGGGCATTGCTATCGAGTTGAAAATGGGTGTTAGTACTGACATTTGCATATATTTTTTTTCTTCACCAGGCTCTTTCCATTTGGAAATCAGTGACTGAGAGAGAACAACAACATTAACAATAACAGCCATGCCAATTTTTTTCTTATTTCTTTATAGGATGGATGAGACACCAGGAATTCCTGGTTTGAGGGAGTGGTCCCCCTCTATGGTGGGTACCATGTCTGTCTTAGACCGGGGTGATGCCCCAGCCCAGCTGGTGATTGAAAGGAACCTAAAGGCTCAGGCTCAGCGCCAGGCTGACCAAACCAAAGAGGAACTAGATCGCATCACATCCAGGGTCAACCAGGTAAAGTCATTAAATAAACTTTTAAAATATCTGCTCAGATTTAAAATGGCATTTTTGTGGTTCTTTTGTTGTTTGACTTGCAATCAAATGTACAGGTACTGGAGATTGATTTGCTTAAGGAAGGAATTATTCTTTTTGTAATGGATTTTATAGATCTTTTAAAACCAATATAAAGGTGAAATGAGCAAAAATCAAGAGCTTAGAAACATGAAAATGAAACATATGCCCAAGTTTTCATTTGAAATACATTCATTCACAAATAACAAAGGGTAAAAAAGACCCCGAAACAAATTGAAACAAAAATAGGAAGCAAAAGAAAGATTGGTTCTATTGCATGTATCTGCATGTACATGTATGCTACATTTTGTATTATGATTGTTCACATGTTTTTTGGTTAATTTGTTTGTTTGTTTTGACATTTTTAGACTGTGGCTGCCTTTGAACTCAATGAAGAGATGATGGATGAAAACAAAGCGGCGTACTTCGTTCCTGATTTAGTAAGTCCTTTGCAAATATAAAATCCATATTGGGTTACTGTACGTACATACATTGTATGGTGTGCACTGTAAATACGGTGTATTTCATATTTTTACATAGATTGTTTGAAGTTAATTTGGTTAATGTGACCCAACTCATGGATTTAAGAACACACACAAATACCTGTGTCATGTATCTAGGCCTACATGTATGTGTTTGGTTTGATCGACAGCAAAATTTAGTGTACTTGTATCTTAGACAGGTTTTCAAAATCATGAAAACTATCTATGCATACCGGTAAATATTGTGTATGTATGCATTTATGGAGTGTTTTTAACAGAAGAAATTCACATGGTACATTTTTACCTCTTTTTTTTTCTTCTTTTTTTACATTATCAGTGCAATTTTTTAACTGAAATTCAGCATTTGAGAAAACTTCCTGGAATTTGTAAAATTACATAAAGAGAGGTTTTGTAGTTTATTGAGACCAAATAACAGCGAAACAGGATATTTGGACTACTTTAAAACTTGGAACGTTTCAATATACTTCTGGAGGATATCGATCTAAAGTAGTGTTGCATGTTTTATTAGAGGGTCTGGAAAACAGGAAATCTAGAGGTACATGTAACTGGCATGTGTGAAAACTAGAGAGGAAGAATGCAGTACTGAGAATTACATTTATAGTTAAAAGGAAAGGACACAAATAGCAAAGATAAAATTTAGAAGTATGTATAATGAGACCGACGGAAATAAAAAAGAAACAGGAAAATGAAATTAGAACCATTAGACATTGTATTAGCAAACATGTTTTGATTTTAAGCTTCTTTTTTCACATTGCCATGTCATGTGATTTAAAAAAGAACTGTGTTACAAACAATCTGGCTCAGCAGAATTAAGTAATTGATGTAGTACAAGTAAAGCATGTATTTGTGAAGAGCCAAAAATGCTTTTAAAAGGAGAGTAAGTTATCTCAATTCTAACTCCCAGCAAACAATATAGTTTATTATTATCTATATCAGGCTCTCAAGTGGTACAATAAATGAGTGTATTTAATATCTTTAGCGCAGTATCCGGATGTCCAATCAATGTTGTTTTTGTATTGCTCAGTCATCCGGAAACTTCAATTTTTTATATCGATATCACACGAAAACAAAGCTATATTTATTGAGGTAAATATATTTTTGTTATTTGGCTAGTCAGCCTGATAAAGATAATAATAATAATATTGTATGGCTTTGTTTTTGTGTGATACAAAAATATATTGCTCTCGCTATATCAATATTGGACTCTTCTTCAACTCAATATATATATTTGTATCACACTCAAAGCCATCCGATATGATATAAATACTGTAGCTGTTGTAATCTTAAGGTTCAGCTTATCGCAAAAGGTTGTTCTTTCATCTAGAATGCTATAAAGTAAAAGTATTAAAAAAACGCTCCCATGGGTAATACTTAAATGTGCAATCCAATCAATGATACAAAGGGAAATCTAAATTTGACTATTGAAAGTTCTAAAAATTGACTTTTGAAAGTCCATGTATTAATATTATTTATAACCGCAGTGGCACACTACTTGTAGGTGTCAATTATTGTTTCACGTTGTGAATGGTTTGTGTTTTCTTCTTTCTTGAATTTCAGTTGGAGCTTGAGAAGATCATCAGTGACACCATTCTAAAGAGAAGATATCAGCAGCAGGTCATGATCTTTGTGGTTGGATTTGAGGAAGTCACTGACCAGAGACTCAAGTTATTGACCCAGATCAATGATGTAAGTAGTTTGTACAGTGCATATATAGAAGTTTAAAAGTATACCCAGCTTTGGTAGCTTCTAAGTAAGAAGTTGTATGACCTTGAATTGTATTTCAGAGTTCAGAGTAATTAATACCCTGCCTAATGATACCGTATATATTCATAATTGCTGCCACTGATGACTGAGCAGCAGCCATGAACAAAATAATTATTGTCAACATTTCTTTTACCAAGTTTGGGCTGAAGCAACAAATGTGGGTCAAAGGTCATTATGCATTTAGTATTTTCTGTCTGAAAACAATTGCTGAGATATTTGCATCAATTTTAGGCATTTGAATAGAAAAAGTGAAATGTCAACTCGAACTCAAGGAAAGCCACAAGCACAATTTAAGATATTCTTTTAAAGTTTGTTTTGATGACACAATCTTGGTTTCCTTCACATCCCGTCTTGAATCATTCAAAATGGATGAAGTTGAGACTTGTGAAATCCTTAAACATTACAACTCTACCCATTTTTGTATTGTCTTCAGTTCTTTGGAACCTATATAAACAGTGTGGATGAGGAGGAATACAAACCTAAGGAGCCTGAAGTTGATCTGGAGGAGGTATCGGTGGCTGTGCAGGAAGCTCTGGAGACAGCATCAAGTGCCACACAGAAACTCTCTGATATCAACACAGAAATCATCTCGTATGTGGAGAAAATGACCGGAGGCAAAGCTGCATCAAAGTAAGCATTTATTATCAATAGACCTTATTGATGAGGCGCCTAGTATTGGCAAGATTGCAAGATTTTTCAAACCTTGATCATTCAATGGAATAGAATAAATACAGCAACGTAAGGTAGTATTACTATTAAATCACTGTCATATTTTCCAGTTATCATTAGCATTCTTCGTATCTTGTTATTGAAATCAATTGTGAACTCTATAGCTGTCAAGGATTACAGCTAGTGGCCATTTTAAGTACAGATATTACAAGTTACCCATTCATAGTACTCCTAAAACGTTTACTGATTCCAATCTGTTGACCAATTACATTTCAATATCCCAAACAGCAGTCTACAAAGTATTGCCGTAACAGTGATTTTACTGTGATTTTGTTATCACACACACATTAAAAGGCAACCATGCACATATTCACATGTACTTATATGCAGGGTGATAATTTGTCTTTAATATCATGTTCTTTCAATGATTTGTATTCATTAGAAATTTAAATAAAGTCCTTATTCTTATGATACACAAACAATATCAAATCTAACTATATCCTTCACATCTTATGGCAAGAAATCAGTCTATGGTAAGTCTGCTACTTTTGACCCAGGTAAAGTAAATGTCTACCTTGTTGGCAGAAATTTACAGCACCCATCAGTGTGCCTTGATATGATTGCTTTTAAGTATGGATTTTTTTAATAAAAAGGATCAATAAAAACAAAATTCAGTAAATGTTGGGATAGCCCTTTTGTCCTTGAAAACTCCCCCTCTCCCCTTTCTCCCCAGAATGTATAAAGACATTTTCATTATTTCATTCATGGTTAATTTAAAGAAGAAGAAGCGGAAGAACAATTGAGTAGGGTCTGCATATTTTGGGGGAGCAAATCTCTTGTAAAACTCTTCGAACATTTTTTTGTATTCACCCTGATTTTCTTATTCATCCTGTTTGGTGGCAGTGCTTTTTACAAGGAACAGTGTGTTATAAGCCCAACTTTTCTTTCATGGTTTTAACAGGAGTAAAAAGAAGTTGGAAAAGGCTCTACAACAAGCCAAAGATGACATCATGAGTTTAACTGAGAAGCTACAGGGTGCTCAAGCAGGTAAGGATGCTGCTTCTTTAATACAGTAAAGGGAGAGGTTGATATTACTTTCAATCATTTGAAATGAAGTGGTGCAAAGTTAATCCAAAATGTTTAGAGCAGCAACATAAAATTAAAAAACAGAATTAGATAGTTTTTAAACTACCGTAATGACATTCTAAGACAGCAGATTTGACAAGACTAACAGCAAGCTTCATTTCAAAATTTCTGCATGAATTTGTTAAATTCATAACATTCATAGAAATCAGTGGTGTTATCCAACGTAACGAATGACAATAGTTTGACTGCAACTTCCCTAAATATGTAATAGTACTGTCATACCACAACAGTAGGTCTTTAGCAATATGAAGTACAACTGTACAAATGGTTACATACAATAGGGCTAGAATAATGAAAGGATTGTTTTTTTTTTATGTAGAAGGTACTAAACTTAAAATTCTTTTATTTGTGTTGTAATACCTGTTAGCCATCAATTTTTGTCAGTTCTTTACATAACCTGTTCAAAGTTAATCTTAAGGCATTGTACTGACAGTCATTTTAATTAATTTCTCATGCAGTTGGCAGAAATTACATTGGATGTTAATGTCTGCTCCATGCCTTTGATAACATACTACTGTAGTTGTTTTTCTCTGAGTGGGATTTCTTATAAGTTTTCATTTATTTGCTTACACTATCAAACAATTCAGAGTATCTTAGAGTAATTTTCTCATGAAATGCATTTTTATTACCAGAAATCAAGTTAAGAATTAATGTTCTTTTAAAGAAGGACATTAGCAATAACTTGTTATTCTTCTTACATTTATACACCATGCAGTACTTCTTTGTGGTATTTGGGTCCAAATTAAGTTATTTATATTCCCACGTTTCCAAGACACTTTTCTTCTATGTTGAAGAAAAAAACTATTAAAGACTTGTTCATGCTTGCCATTCATTTATAAACACGTTTAAAAAAACGTGGCGGCAAACAGTGGTATATCTGAACAAGCCATAAGGGATTAATTTTAATGTACATGTACATTGGAAGTGTAATCTTGGGTTTTGTTATGAACTGGAAATATTATCTCAGAATCAACCAAAGCTTGAATCACTGAAAGTTCAGGATTGCAAACAAATGTCATATGCCAATCAAGTTTGGTATAAAACCTATAATGGAGTTGTAAAGACCAAATGTAGTTGAGGAAAATGAGTTAATAGTCCCAACTGCTTGTGTCACTGTTGATCTTCAGTGTGAGTTGTCCATTAAATGAATGTGAGTTCAACTGAATGTTCATTTTGGTGGTCCAAATCGCCCAGCTGCTATCTGGTTTAATAAAAGATATTTTTTTAAGCCAGTTTCTCCCAAAATGCAACTTTAAGCAGTACCCAACTCTGACTTTAGAAATTATATTTGTTATTCATTTTCTATCTATGTTGTTACTTTCTAAAGAAATTGAAGACAAGGAAGATCATATGACAAGACTTTATAAACAGATTGATATGAAGAGCATGGAAGTCTTGAAATACAAGAATGCAGCTGATCAAGCAAAGGTGAGTTATTTTTGCCTGTAGTTGGGAAGGATCTGGTGGAATAAAAAGTGTAGGCAATACATGTATAACTAGGCCAGAGGGACATTTTTGTTGATGAAACATTAGGAAATACAAGTAAATTATATGAATAGCATAGAAGTCTTGAAATAAAAATTGAACTGAACGAGTTAAGATGAGTGATGTGTGTGCACACATGTATCTTTGTTTGTAGATGAAAACTGGGGTGGGTTTGATCAAATGAGAAGTTTAGGCAACACCTATACCAGAGCTGCCAACTAGTACGGATTTTCCGTAATTTTTTTTTTTTTTTTTTTTTTTTTTTTTTTAATGAATTGAATATGATTTATCGTAGCGAGTGCTGTGAATAGGAGCCATTTTTCATGATAAACTGTGTTGTGATGACCTGAAATTCAATACTTAACATCTTTGTGTGAGTAAAATCACCAAAAATTTCAGATAATCATGCGTCCGCGCAGTGTTGGCGTGTCGTTTTTTTAGATTCATAGCGCCGCATAAGAAATTACTGATTTATACCCCAAATTACTGATTTTGAGCCTTGTGATTACTGATTATCTGTTCTGGAGGTTGGCAGCTCTGCTATACATTTAGTTATAAAGGGACAGGTTGTTGGTTATTAAACAATCAAATACTGGTAAAATGTGAAATGTTACCTCTCAATGTCACTACATGTAGGTTTACAATAATGTGTCATGGCTTTTGATGTTATGAGAGAATTGTTGAATCTTGATTTTAATTTTCTTTATTCATCTCCGAAGATAACATTGTTCCATGGTATTGAAGTTCACAGTTCTAACATTGAAATAATGCGGCTTCGTTATCAGTTTTGAAAGTTTAACAAAAAGTGCTGTAATCATGATAAGAAGGAAGACAACATTGGCAACATTTATAAGCATTACATGTACTTGAAGCTAAAATGCAGACAAATTAATTTCTTCACTATTATTGTCACCCAGCCTTTCATGATCTTTAAAACGGTCTTGCATAATGAAAGCAAGCAATAATCCGAAATGATGGAGGGATGTGTGGACTACAAATTAATATGTTCACTGCATACATGAAATCTAATGTTCTTGTGTGTACACTGCAGCCATCATGAATGACAGCATATTATGTCTGTGCCAATTAGATTAGAATATTAATATTTGAGTATGGAATATGTGCTTTTCATTACCATTTGAACTAAATTAGAAAATATTGTCCAAAGAATTGACATTTCTAGTGATACAGCATGTATTTAAATACAGTCTATTAAATAAATTTGATTTATTATTAGTACCATGCCATTATTTAGGTTATTCTAAAAAACCAACAAATGAAAGAAAATGAAACCAAACATACGTAACAACAATGTTCAATGAGAACAATAATATGCAAGTCTTTTCCTTATTTTGTGTGTGTTATAATCTTGGGGGGGAGGGGAGTGATTAATAAGTGAAAATATTTTGAAATTTAGGGATCCAATGCATTTTAGTGTGAAACCCTGCTTTGGGGTAAATTTTTGATATTTTATGCTAGTGCTGTAGTCAAACGTTTAACCGTCCGGTATCCGACCGCCCATGGCGGATTCCGTTTTCAATTGGACGGTTTCGTTATCCCGTTTTTTTTTTTTTTTTTTTTTTTTTTTTTTTTTTTTTATTAATTTTTTTTTTTTTTATAATTTTTTTTTTTTTTTTTTTTTTTTTTTTTTTTTTAAAGTTTCGATTTATGCCCCTCCGCCTGGCACTATGCCTGGCAATGTCTCCCAGCTCAGTAATCGGTGTGATGACTTACCACTTGGAAACTAGAACAACACTCCAATTTGTCTGTCATCTTGGTTTGAAAGTAATCTTTGTAATAGATCTCAATATATATTCATCCAAGTTTAACACATGGTGTACCACAAGGTTCTATCCTAGGTCCTCTCTTTTTAATTTACTTTAATGATCTTACACATTATTCTAAAATGACATTGTTACTATTATTTCTATTATTTGTGACAAGTTCACAAGCACAAATCGGCACCTTCAGTTAAATCACCTTCCTGCTTTTTCACACGGCCAAAAAAAAAAAAAAAAAAAAAAAATGATTTTTTTTTTTTTTTTTTTTTTTTTTTTTTTTTTTTTAAATAAATCGTTTAACCGAAAACCGTCCGGTTTTGACAGGCGGTTAAACGGAATTGGAGATATCCGTGATGTTACAGCACTATTTTATGCCAACATTTTGATAATGAATGTACATTTACCAGTTCAAGTGCTGCTTCAAGACTAAACAAATACCGCTAATTGTTTTTTTAATATAAACATCCATGTTGCAGTTGAGCGTTAACATTCTCAAACAGGAAACGGCAACGGCAGAGAGGGGGTTCAAATATGAGAAGTTTAAACCGCCTTCAGCACTGGAAGGGTTGGGTATTTACTGCACCTTTTCTACCCTGCATTTAATAAAGCCATGTTTTCATTGACACAGAAAAAACTTGATCAAATCACCGAGCTGCAGTCGGAGATTTCTGAGCGGGATGATGAGATAGAGAGACTAAACAAGGCCCTAGATGACAGCCAGCTGAGTTTAAAACAGCTGGAAAACTCAAAAGAGAACAGCTTTGCCAGACTTAAAGCAGCAAATGATGAAGGGGAGGTACGTATCCATCTCTCCCACTTGCTCTGTCATTTCCTCCTATTTTATCTTGCTCTCCTTTTTATCTTCCTTGCTTATTTCTCTCTCCCCCCCCTTTCTCTCCTTTCTCCTTTTCTTTTATCTTTTTCCTTATTTTTGGTATATATTTTTTAGTAATCTTTTCTCTTTGCTCTTTAAAAAATCTTTTACTCTCTTTGTTTATGTTCTCCTCTTTACCTCTCACTATATTTCTGTGTCTTTAAAAGTAAACTACCACACTTTAATGAATTACTCACTTGAATGATGTGTGCATCCTGTGTTATGCTGCAATGTTCATATAACTCTGTTAAATATGAATTAAAAATAAGAAAAATAGAGAAAAGAAATAGAGCAAAAAAATATGTAATAAGATAAATTATTGCAACAATAAAAAGAAATCTATTCATGCATCTATTAATTTGAATGACACATTTTGTTTGCTGCCCTCATTTTTTTGTTTCTATCACAAAGCAATGTTTTTATGCTCTTTTTCATCTGAGTGTCTGTGTGAGTTCCAAATCTGAACAGCATTTTGGATTGAATGGTGCTCTATATAATATGAAAAAGCAGTCTGAATCGTATTAAGTAAGGATGTAAATGTTCAAAATAATTCAAATCTTTTATCAAGTTAGTGTCCCTGAATCCATCATATCGTAACAATTTAAAGTTATGACACAATACGATAACTTACTTTTGTCAAGTTTACTTGCGTCACAATTCTTGAAAGTTTTCTTGTTAGGATTCCTATGTTTATGTGATACCAGTACAGCGCTGCCAACCATTCCGTTTTTGCCGGAATTACTCTGTTTTTTCCTCCAAATTACAGTATTACTTTTTTTCTTCATAAAATATGTTTTTTATTATTTTTTTATTATTTTTTTAATAATTTTTTTTTAAATTTAATTTTTTTTTTTTTACATACCACACGTCAAACAACTGCCCTAAAATGGTGATTTGATCACAAATTCAATAGAAAACAACTTTTAAAGCATACTTGAAGAGGAAAATATTCTCAAAAAGAATGAAATGCCAATAATACCAAAATAACCACAAAAAATGAGGAATGAACATTTCTGCATTGGAAGTGTGTCGCGCGTGGTTGTAAGTTTCGTTTTTATGAATTCCTTTTTTTTGCTTGAAATTCCTTTTTTTTGCCATCATGATTCCTTTTTTTGGTCCCACAAGGTTGGCAGCTCTGCCAGTACTTGATTGTTCAAAAAAGCTCTAGAAAAAAAGAAAAGAAATATATAGGCTGGGTGGAGAAACTTAATCAATGTCATGACGCATTCAAAAGAATTATCTTTATTTTCTGCTGAAGAGAGTTTGATATGCAAACATATGACATTGGATAATGTGAACACGCACACCATCACTGTGCCTCTTGATACAACATCTTCAAGTAAACCAACATGTCGGTCAAGTGTCGTGGAGTTAAAATGCAGTTTTTGTATCACTTTCCCTTCTGTAAATCAGGCCTGTTAAAAACCCCATTTAAATCGGTTTCCTGATTTTTTGATTTTTTCCAGATTTTTGAATTTTTTTTTTCTTCCCTATTTTACCCCGATTTTCCCAATATTCCCCTTATTTTCTCTATTCTTCCCGATTTTTCCCTATTATTTCCCTATTTTTCTTACTCAAAAGGGGGGGGGGGGGAATGTTGTTAGGTGCCATTTTTCCCCCCGAATCCTCTTCTTTCTTTTTTTTACTCAAGGGGGGGCATGGTTGAGGGGGAAAAAAACTATTTCTTTTTAGTGCTCACTATCACCCCTGGTAAATACATTGTCTATTAATTATCAATAAATTTTTCAGTATCAAATTCTGATTAGGGTCCATTTCTGAAGGAGCAAACTTATAACTATTCATCATTGGTGGAGTGGGAATTACAATTAGCGGTACATCCCACTCCTGCCCCCCACCCCCCCCCCCAATACAACTCATCATGTAAAGGGGGGGGGGGGGAGAGAACCAATCCTTGGAAGGTTGTACTTCTTAGAGTTTTCTTTATTCTTGTGCATTGACTCCGACGGCGTCTTAACCAACATTGCTATTTACCTCAAGATTTTGTGCTTTTAGTTTTATCACCATGCTTTTTTGTCTTCTTTGATGCAATTTCTGTCATTGTGATAATATGTATTTTCTCTTGGCAAAATATTCATATGCACTTCTGTGGATCACCGGAACATCTTCGCTCTGCAGAATAAAAATGTAAATGTGATTTCTGAAGCATCTTCTTTTGTTAGACTAGATTGACAGGATTGTGGTGGAAGCTTTCTCTATGAACTATAAAATACTTACATTCTCTATTTTTTCACTAACAATAATTATTTGAAGTGGTGCATGTCAGTATAATGTTGTGTGAGAGAATGGTTTTACTATATCAATGATATTGATTTACCATGCTAAAGTTATGATGCTTAACAATTTACATATTCCCATCTGCTAGATCTCATGAAAGGCATTCTTCATTATTGTAGTTCTAAGACATTTTCTTAGAATCATCATTTTCAAAGAATACTCATCCTGTGACTTTGACTTTGATAGATACACTGTATAAGCTCTTAACTTGGAATTAAATTTTAAAAAAGACATATGCAACAGTATAATTCTTTCATGCTTGATGATAAGTAATTGATGTAATTCACAAATTTCTGAATTCTTTAAAAAGATGAAGTGCATTGGTACACAGATGTATTTCACCATATTCACATTCATTAGCTTGTAAAAACTGCAATAAGAATGATATGCAAAATATTAGAATGAGTAAACAAAAAGGTTAGATTTAGCAATATACCGGTATCTAGAAGTTGTGACTACATCTGATAACATAAACATTGCTAACCTTGAATTACATGTAGTGACATTGTATAAAGGAAATGAAAGGAAATGAAAGGAAATGAAAGGAAATAAAGGAAATGAAGAAAAGAAAGATTATAGATAGATACTAATTTGCATGCAGCATGTGACAGTTGTTTGATGCCGTGTTTTAATTTGCATGATGTTTTTATATGCATGATCAACTAATCATTTAATTGTAATCAAGGGGAAAATATGCTTTATGCTTTATAGCATGTGTAGTTGTGATTATTAATAGCTCATTATAAACGCATGCTTCAAATCCCAAGTTGTGACATTATTTCTATTGTATTGCTTTGTACAATCATGTATAACATTTTCAAATATGATTGAAAGACTAATATAGAAAATGTGGTGTTTAAAGCCCATATTAAGTGTTGGGAGTCCCAAATTTGCCAAAAATTTGATGGCAAAATTTCACCTATTTTATATCATATTTGTAAAAGAGGATGTAATTGTTTAAAGACACACTTCAGTAAAGATTCCTCCCCCCCCCCCCCCAAAAAAAAAAAAAATGTGTTTAAACAACATCCTCTTTCACATTACATCAAATTTTTGGGGCTCCCAACACTTTAGAGGTGCTTTATTAAGGAAATAGGACCACAACTTTAACTGTCAATTCAAGTGAACAGCACATGTACCAGATTTACTTCAAATCTTTCGTGAAGCACATTTGCTGTAACCATGGTTCCAGTTGGTTACATCATAGCATATCTTCTTTTGTTTCGTGTTTGTCTAAGAAACCAGTATACATACACCACAGTATGCTCAATTCGAACACGGTTGGCCAAACTTCCCTAATCAATGACACTGAATCCATCTCTCGACACAATAGCAGCAGCAATCATCATCAAACCAATCATCAAAGAGTGAAGTATTTATTTTTCTAATGAAACTTTTTCGATTAACACCGGTGATTACAAAATTTAATAAAGAAAAGAAAAGGGGCACATCTCTACCGCCTCCAGGCATCTTGGTTTGTCTTGATTTCAACTTTGATTTGCTCAGCTAGCAATGTTACACGTGTAGGTTGATATAACAGGCACGTGTCATTAGATCATGTGCAACAGGCACGTGTCATTAGATCACGTGTAATGGGACCATGATATTATCATTCATAAATAAAGCAACCATACAACATCCTCGAGTACATAATCATGTCAAGTTGAAACATTTATGTAAAAAAGCAAGTCACACAATTGTATAATGTGTTATAGAGCAACCATACAACATCCTGAAGTACATAATCCTGTCTAGTTGAATCATTTGAGTAAAAAAGCAAGTCACACAATTGAATAATTGTCTATAGAGTAACCATACAACAACCTTGAGTACATCATCCTGTCTAATTGAAACATTTACGTAAAAAAAAAAGTCCTACAATTGTATAATTTTTTGTGATCTTTATTCAACTGTAAATGGAAGTAGCGTGAATTTTTTTCTTCTCAAGAACGGGCCTGAAAACACAGGCGATCAAAGCCCCTTTAAATGCGCTTGTCATACGCTAAAGTCTCTGCTGCCATGCTAGAGCTATAAATCTGTCATTTTTAATATGCTCTTGAGCTAATTGTAGTGCGCCTTGACACCTCCGCGCTCTTGCTACAGAAGTTTTGAACCTGTTCAGATTTTTGTGGTGATCAGGGAGATGACGGCTATCCTGGACGCTTCAGAAAGGCTGAATATACGATGGAGAAGACTGAAAAGATCAAGCCCTGATTCATCAGGTTTTGTCAATTTTGGGGGATCGCAGCAGAGTTGTCTTCTAGTGAGATGGGGGTAGTAGTAAGAAGCTGCGCAAATATAATTGGTCAATTCCATCAAGCTATGAAACAACTGAATCTCAATCCCAACATGAGCTAGAAAACAAAGACCATTTAGATATGGTCTTTGTAATAATTTTTACAAATATGGTCTCATGTATCATACTGAAAATTAAAACAAATCTGTATCTAGCAAAGTTTAAAAACACCTAGAAAATGAGAGTATTAAGTGCATCATTCATATTGTTCAGGAATAAGTGCATTCTCCATTTTCTAGCAAAATAAACAAAATGCATGCCTGTTTATTATTCTTCAACTTTGCTTTTTATGCCTCCACTACAAAGTAGCCGGAGGCATTATGTTTTTGGATTGTCCGTCCATCCGTACGTCGTACCGTACGTCCGTCCGTACGTCCGTCCGTCCGTACGTCCCGTTCTCGTGATCGCGTTATCTCAAGAACCGATTGGTTGATTCCCGCAAAACTTGGGTCATGTATGTATCTCACAGAGCCAATGAACTGATTAGATTTTGGGGTCACGAGATCCAAGGTCAAAGGTCACAGGGCTCATTATTTATGCGAAAATGGCTCGTGATCGCGTTATCTCAAGAACCGATTTATGGATTCCTGCCAAACTTGAGTCATGTATGTATCTCACAGAGCCAATGAACTGATTAGATTTTGGGGTCACGAGATCCAAGGTCAAAGGTCACAGGGCTCATTATGTATGCAAAAATGGCTCGTGATCGCGTTATCTCAAGAACTGATTGATGGATTCCTGCCAAACTTAAGTCATGGATGTATCTTGCAGAGCCAATGAACTGATTAGATTTTGGGGTCACAAGGTCGAAGGTCAAAGGTCACAGGGCTCATTATGTATGCAAAATAGCTTGTGATCGCATTATCTCAAGAACCGATTGATGGATTCCTGCCAAACTCAGGTCATGTATGTATCTTGCAGAGCCAATGAAATGATTCGATTTTGGGGTCACCATGCAGGTCAAAGGTCACAGGAGTCTTTATGTATCCAACAAAAGCTTGTGATCGCATTATCATGAGATCAAATAGACAGATTACTATCAAACTCAAGTCATGTATGTATCTTGCAGAGCCAATGAACTGATTAGATTTTGGGGTCACCAGGTCGAAGGTCAAAGGTCACATGGCTCATTATGTATGCCAAAAATAGCTTGTGCATGCATTATCATTAAAACCCACGGATGGATTACAATCAAACTTGAATTTAAAAATTGTTTCTGTTTTGGTTTGTAAAATTGCTCTATATATGGCGGAGGCATCATTTTTGACTGACTGCGCGCAGTTCCATCTAGTTTGCTTGATAGAACCACTGAGATGTCATGGTACACTGTATTTGTTGGAAACATCTCTTTTGTGATTTCAATTACAAGAAGTGTTTTACTTCTAAGATACACTATATATTGCACAGGAAACTGTTCACATAGCACAAATTAACCAATCCGTGTGAGACAACATTATTTCCTTTTTTATAATTTTTAATCACCATTGCCAAGTAACAAGCAAAACAAATGATAAAGAAACAAGCCCCCCCCCCTAAAATGAAACAGTTTGTGATCAACATTTTAATGCTAAAAAGAAATTAAGTAACCAAATAAGACCCATAATGAGGAATATCACAATGAAATTAATGATTATATTTTCTAGAATGTTAACCTCTTTTAGCCCCAAGGAAGCTTTATGCCCTCAAGGATGGTTTCGGTTCCCTTTAGCCTATGTATATAAGTGCCTTTTAGCTGCTTTTTGTATAACTTGAAAGAAGAAGACTAAAATCTCCCATGCTCATTGTTGAAAGTAGTTGCACTAGCGCCCTCTATTGTTTAAGAGCACTTCCAGCATTCATACTATTTATAATTTACTTATATTAGATTGTGACTAGTGATTCAGAATGACTTTTAGACATGAACCTCCTGAAGCTCACGATTAACTTTAAAGGTGAAATTCAAAGAAGATCAAAAATATGTCAACTAATGTATCACTAGAAACTGATAAGCTAACAGATGGCCATCGGACAAGTTTTAGGTCAACTACATATCGGGTGATTTATAAAAATAAAAATACAACCACCTCCATAGCAGCTGGGATATACGAGAGATTCGCCGGGAAAATAACGATGTTTTAATGACGTCACTATATGGACCAACACTGCCCAAGCAGACGACATCCCATAGAGAATGAACATAATTGCAAAGCTATTATTTCTCAAATTATAATGAGTTTAGTGTAATTAAATGTAATGGCATGTCAAACCATTCAAAAGGGGATATGACCCGATTCTGATGACTAGAATCTTTTGCTTGTAAATACACAGGATAGGGGTTAATTAACAATCAAAGAAACCAGACTTTCAAATTGAAAAAACCCTGGAATGATATTAAGGACGGCATTTGCTCCCGCTTGAAACTCCGAACATACCTCGGTGTGTGCAGCTGAACATACAATGGCATCTTATTTTGTTTACAAGCGACAGATTCCTTTATTTTTGTATCGCTGCATTTTTCATCAAAATAAGACCATGCGCGGGGTTTAGAGTGAAGCAACAAATTATACATGTAGCCTGATGGTAGTGACGTAAGAGAAAGAACTCAAGAGAAGATGAAAACACAGGCACTGAAAATGTGTGAGATGTCATGGGACGTCGTCTGCTTGTGCAAGTCATGTCCATACTGTGATCTCACACATCTCAGCAGCGTTCGGAGAGCTCTTCAGGTGCTATGCCGGGGCTGTATTTAAGCGTTTTGTAATTTATAATAATCATTACTTTGAATGTTTCCAAGCATTGAATTTTGAACCTTGTCGAATCAAAATTTCAACTTTGCAATAATGAAAATAAATTTAGTTTTTAAAATCAATGAATATCTACTTTAAGCCGCGACCCGGGGGGGGGGGGGGGTGAAGATCATATTTGGTTTGGACAAGGGTGTGCCGCTCATGCCTCGAAACCCCTACCAATTTGTAAGGATCAGTTTGGGGGAAGTAAAGCCCATTTTTCACAATTTTCTGTGTGCAAACACTCAACAATTTTGGTAATTTTGAAAAAACAGAACCATGTTTAGGGATATTTTTGTCCAAAATGGGACCTATAATGTTTAGAGATTTTTTGGTGAAAATGTGACCCATTAGAGCGGCACAACCTGTATGTCTTAATATGTGAGTACCCCCCTCTCCAGCCGCAACCACTTTCAAACTTTGACTAGCTGATGATCAATTGTTCCATGGTAGTAGAACCATGGAGATGATATTGATTTCAGTGTCCCTCCAGGCTCTGTTTGGCTCTCCGTCCCTCCCACTAAGCACCTCATCCTTAGCCATTGTTATTGATGGGGGTTCCATTGAAATGTTGGCTCTGAACAATAGCTGAAAGGTAGCAGCTACATGATGTGGAGTCAATGATGTGTTGACTGAAAGAATAGATAGTCAAATAGAAAGACGAGAGGGAGAAATATTGATCTTTTACGCTGCTTCTCCTTGCCAAAGAATATTACAAACATCTTTACCGTGTTGTTGAACAAGCTTTGCAGCAGTCTACAAGACAAGCGAATGATAACGGGGAAACTCCACTAACAATCTGCAATTATTTGTGATCACAAATTTGCAGCAATCATGCTATTTCTTCATGCATATTGACTTTAACTTGGATTAAGTGAATCAAATACTAGTAGAGGATAATCTGCATGAACCTTGGTAAATAAAAGTTGTTTTCTTCATTGCAGTAAATATTTTGGTATGTTGGATCAACTTAATGAGTGACTGAATCTGTACAACTACAGAGATTAATTGAATGCATACGGGTAGTGAAAATGTTATTCAAATATTGCTAAGTATATGAATATTGTTTATTTTTTCTTCATAATAAGTTTCAATTTAATATACACAAGACTATGTCATTGTTGTAACTTCCTGAGCCTACGACCTACAAGCATTGCTTTTTCTTTAGGCTCCATCATATTTCTTTATTTATACAACTTAGTCTTATGTATTATTCTTTTTTGTTTGTATAAACGCATCCTAAAATGAGTACAAAATGTAACATGCTAATTTGTAATGAAGTATTATACAATATGTGAAATATGAAAATAAACTGAGACTGAAACTGAAACTGAAACTGAAAACTGAAATGAGTACTCCTGTTTTTTGCACCGTCTTTCTCAGATAAAGATGTAAAATTATTTTTTTTGGCACAAAGGGAGTCCATTTTTCTCTCTCTCTTTTAACAAAGGACAACCATGACGTATTGACGAGAGAACATGAAAAATAAACCCCAAAACTATAAATAATGCTACATGTTTCAAGCCACAATCATACATGCAATTAAAGTAAAATCCAACCTTAACAGACAATTACTCTTAAAGAAAGCAGAACAATCAGAGAAGCAGTCTGATGAAATTTTTGATGAAAACGGACAACAAACATTAAATAAAATTATGAATTTTTGAAAGTTATGATCAATATATGGTACGCTCTTTAAATTGACTGAATAAAAAAATACAGGACAACATTCCCATTTTTTCAGCACACAAAATAAATAAAATACATGTTTTTCAAGTTGGAAGGAAGGTCTTTTCTCTTTAGAGGACCTGTGATATGTTATCCCTAATATATTTTGAGTAGATTCACTAGGGATAAAGCATTTAATGGTAAAACAGAAATTAATGATAATTTTGTACACAACAAACAGGAGAGTTGTCCATGTAACGTCACAACCCAATGACCAGCTTGCCAATTTGAGATTAGCATTTATTTAGTGATCTCATATTTCAAACCTTCATAATTCTCTTATAATTGGTCTCATTTACTTTCAGCTTTCGCCATTCTATGTCTGTTAATTGTCTGCTTCCATACAACTGTAATAGGTTGCATTGCATTTAAGTCTCTAAGTGGGCTGGGGATTGCAAGTTTAATTGAATTTTTGATTAACTCTTTGTTGTGTAAGTTTTTTAATAAATCTGATCATCTTCTTTTTTTCAAATGAATCTTGATGGAAAAAATGGTGTTGAATGACATGAAATGATTTCTTTACTTCCTTACATGTTATATAATTCCTTAGTATTATCTGTTTGAAGCCAGAAGGGCATTAAGTCTTATAAACAAAGACTCAACACCCTTCTTGCTTTCATCAGACAATGTCATCATTTGTTCTCTTTATTTCTACACTATTAAAGTTCATTACTTCCCAGTGTTAATGGTGTTATGAGGAGGAATAACAATTTTCCTGTTCATGTTTGTCCCTTATTATACAGCTAACTATTGAGAAGTTACAAAGGAAGATTCAAGCTCTAAACGTTCAACAAGGAGACTCTTGGAATGGTAAGCAAACATGATTGAGCTAATAATTGTTAGCCCCCCCCCCCCCCGAAAAAATATGAAATGAAATGATGAGTAGACATGACTACATGTACAATGTATGAGTATGGTAATTCATTTTCATATTATGCATCACTATGAATGAGAACTTTGGGCCAGATTTTTAAATGAGCAAGCTAGCCATTGCCATATTCAATTCCTTTGTTATGCTTCATCTGTTATTCGCAATACGCAATAAAACGATTCTTTATACAACCTTTATACAAGTTTTACATGAAGTCATCATAAGTCTTTTTATCGTGTCATCTGTTTGGAGCCAGAAGGACATTATTACTCATATACGGTATACTTAAACACAGAGTTAATAACACCATTTTGGCTCTAAAAAATGAAAGATCAGTGATACATGTATGTGTTTATCATCATGATCACCCCTTAGAATCTTAATCTTCATCATTTTAGTAATGTACATTATTCTAATTCTTTGAAGATTGAAAGGCCAACATACTCATATGCTACTCCGTATATGAGACACAACTGTTGCATTATCTCAGCTGGAAGTTGGTCAATATTGATGATCTGTATCAAAATCGAGAAAGTCTAAAGAGCGTGATATGATTTTTGTCATTATCTCCACATATTAGTTGTATGAATTATTTTCTAAAATATAAACAAATATATATAAGTAAGTTTTACCACTAATATGAGTTGAGCATGTTTTGCGAAATAGTTTTGATACCTCCAAACTCCCCCAAATAATTGACTTTATATACCTCACTTAAGAAATCCAGCCATCTGATTGGTCGAAATTGCATTCATAAACTTTAACTATTTCTGTAAAATTCCCAGTAACCATGGTTACCGGGAAAATAGTTCAGTCTCCATGGTTACCCCATAGGTTTACATGTTAAAAAATGGTCTGAGCGATCGAGGATACCGTACGTGTGCGAAGAATTGGTCGGTAATTTCAATACAATTGAATCTCGATCGATTTTACCGACAATTTATCTTGCATTGTTGACATGAAGACGAAAATAAACTTCCAAAAACAAAAAAACAACATCTGCCGATAGATCTTGATCTAAGTTCGTGCCAATATGCATTGCAAAAGTAAAATTAAAAGAAGGGCCCGTTTAATAGAGCAGCGGCGAAGCATCCACCTCGCGAAGCCGTTTTCAATCCATTTTAATGTATATATTAGAGAAAACTGCTAGATATGGTGACAGAGCGCGATGGCCGAGCGGTTTAAGGCGCTGATTTTAGTTACATCACCTTTTGTACGCAAGAGATCGAATCCCATCTTCGACAATTTTTTAAAAATTTTTTAGTCTATTTTTTTTTGGCATATAAAAGTATTAATGACTGCTTTAATAATTGGGCTATTGCCCTTGGCACGCCTCGGGTAATAGCACAATTCTAACCTTCCCTTGAGCGTATAAAAACAACTATTTCTCTCAAAGCAGTCATTAATACTATAATATACCCTTCTTGCTATCAGTATCAGTGAACAATATCAATAATTTCCAGTATATTATTTTGGTTTTGATTCCCTATTTATCAGATTAGACAAGGACTAAATGTATGTGTAACCTCAAAAAAAGAGATTATCTGACAAGAAATAATGACAAATTGATCAATTATTTATCCCTCATTGTATGGATATCAAGTTGAAGAACATACAGTATTGCTTGGAATAAAGTAGACTCTCCCACTGTGTGACGTGAGACTGCATGCATTATCCCATAGACCTTGGTGTGACTTGGTGGTAATGTGTCTACTTTATTATGTGTCTACTTAAGCCTGTTGTGATCTTTTCGTGTGACATTCAACATCCTGTTTTCCGAAGGATATTGAAATATAATCACGAAGACTTTCAAAACAATCAGCTCAAGTGCAATTCTGTATGTCCTTGTGTTGCCTTTCAAAAAATAAAAAAAATAAAATAAAAAATAAAAACAACTATTTCTCAAATATTAAAGCAGTCATTAATACTTTTATATGCCAAAAAAAATAGACTAAAAAATAAAAAAATATAATTTTTATTTTTTATTTTTTAGTCTATTTTTTTGGCATATAAAAGTATTAATGACTGCTTTAATATTCGAGAAATAGTTGTTTTTATTTTTTTATTTTTTTTTTTAGTCTATTTTTTTTTGGCATATAAAAGTATTAATGACTGCTTTAATATTCAAGAAATAGTTGTTTTTATACGCTCTCGGGAAGGTTACAATTGGGATATTGCCCTCGGCATGCCTCGGGTAATAGCACAATTCTAACCTTCCCTTGAGCGTATAAAAACAACTATTTCTCTCAAAGCAGTCATTAATACTATATTATTACCCGTATCAGACATCTGAGCTGGTCATTTACAAAACCGTATTGCCCTAGTTTTCACTAGCAGTGGGAACGGAGGGGTATATTCTTTGTATTTTCCTTGGTCTCCCTGCGCATATTGACTTTGCGTGTAGAGACGAGTGAAAATATACCTTGGTATTTTCCACGGTCTCGCATTTTCATTGCGCATCTATTAATATTATGCGTACGAGAACCAGCGCACTTTGCGCGCACTGTATTGTGACGTAATAATCAAACCAAATACACACTGTTTGTAGTGTATCGAAAATTTTGTCAAGCACTGGATGCAAAGTGTTGGTTTGACAAAGTTTGTTCAATTCTTGAGATTGTCATGGTGGATGTCTGTATTTGCTCTAGATGTCTGATTTGGATAACAATAAAAATATTGACTGGCTTTACTTTCGGGGGATATCAGAAATATTGACCGCGCTAAGACCATATTGCCCTCGTCTTTCGACTCGGGGCAATATGATCTGAGCTTGGTCAATATTTCTGATATACCCCTCAAGGCCAGTCAATATTATATAAATATACCCTTCTTGCTATCAGTATCAGTGAACAATATCAATAATTTCCAGTATATTATTTTGGTTTTGATTCCCTATTTATCAGATTAGACAAGGACTAAATGTACATGTGTAACCTCAAAAAAAGAGATTATCTGACAAGAAATAATGACAAATTGATCAATTATTTCTCCCTCATTGTATGGATATCAAGTTGAAGAACATACAGTATTGCTTGGAATAAAGTAGACTCTCCCACTGTGTGACGTGAGACTGCATGCATTATCCCATAGACCTTGGTGTGACTTGGTGGTAATGTGTCTACTTTATTATGTGTCTACTTAAGCCTGTTGTGATCTTTTCGTGTGACATTCAACATCCTGTTTTCCGAAGGATATTGAAATATAATCACGAAGACTTTCAAAAAAAAATTATTTATTTATTTATTTGAAAATATTTATACAGGATGACAATATCAACCAAGGCTGTTTAAATCAGCTCAATGGCAATTCTGTATGTCCTTGTGTTGCCTTTCAAAATCCTATTTTGATAATATAATTTGTCATTGCAAGGTGATGCACAGAGCTGTTGAAATTGATTTTAGATGTTTTACATTTATTTGGAAAACTGTTTTCAGATTGTGTTCCAATAAAACACTGTCTCTTATTCTAATGTTATGTGATTTGAAATCGATAGAATATGATTTGGTGTGAGTAAACAATATTTGATAATGATTAAAGGTAGATTTTAAGTACAAACAGGAAACGATTTTGTATTACAGGTACTAAACTTATTAAAGGTTTATCAGGCAGTTCCTTTGATCTTTAATCTTCAAACAGCTCAATTTGATGGGAGAAACTTTTCCAATTAAGTCACAGTCAAATACACTTTGCAAATAAGAGATTCACATACTAGTGATTTTAATAAAAAAAGACATTCAATGAATTTTGTATTATTTGTCCCAATTTCTGCAAACTTTCGCCAATATGTTTTTCAAATTTGTATGTTTTCACACAAGTTGTGAAAAAGGATGGGATTGCCCATTTAATATTTATCTAAAAAAAAGGAAAAAGTTGCTGATTTACAGTTTCTTCCAATGCTAAATGGCCATAGAAAAGGGGGCTGTCACTCAAAATGCAGATGTAATTTGACTTGGGAAATCAACTAAGATTTTTTTTTCCAGACATATTTCAAGGTTACTCAATAAGGTTTGAGCATTATAAATGTTATCTAATAAAATATTGTAAAGAAAATCCAGCCAGAGCATGAATTATCAATATTCAATATCATGATTATTGTCAACAAAAAAAGCGGGACATACTTAGTATTTAGAATACATCAGAGGCTGTGTGGTGACTATATATGATTCTGCTTCAAATTTTATACAGTCATTCTACAAAGGTAGACATTGCTAAACATGACACTTAATTTAATACAAGTCTGATTGTGGGGGGGGGGGGGGGGGACAAATATTTAAATTGGGGTATTTCTTTTAACCGTGGATCATTATATTCCTGTAAATCAGTGGCTGAGAGAGGGACTGTTTCTTCTGCATCTGAATCCGTTCTGTTTCTGGTCCTTGTTGTATCTCATATTTGGGATGGAATGACTGGGGTCATGGGCAGGATACAGGCTCTGTATACTAATTGCAGGCCAAATGTAAATTAGGCATAAATTATATAAGTTGGACAACGTTGCATGTTGCTTTGTTAGGCAAGCACACACAGGATCTTCATCACTGTGTGTTCAACTGAAGCTGAGAAGGCCAATCTATTTCTATAATTGGATCTGTTTTAGCTTATGGAAACTGGAATTTAAAAAAAAATTGGTGGTTTTTTTTAACACTTTCTACCACTTTGATTCCTTAGAAGTTTTTGCATGTCTATTAAGTGCTTTTTTATCATATCAATTGACAATATTTATGGTAAAATTAGTGGGGGGTTTATGTCTATTTTTTCATGAAATGACTACTATATGATGCCTATGTCAGTTTCATGAACCCTCAGAAAGGTCATCATAAGGCCTGCAAGACTGACACATTTGGTCTCATGGACCATTAGTCCAGTAACTCGTCAGTCTAATAGGCTGTCGTTCTAGTGGGCTGTAGCCATAACAGTACGGTATGTCTCTATATCCACATGCATATCCCTCTTTATTAATGTATCTCTGCCTCTTTTCTCTTCCTGTCTCTCTGGATCTCTGTCTCTGTCTCATTTTCTCTTTATTGCTCCTTCTGCCTCTAGCCCAAATTAACTCCTAATTACCACCCCAGATTAGAGCCAAATTCTTCATGTGATTTCCTTTGAATTATTCAATTATTATTATTTTTCTTTTGGTACCAGAATCTCAGAAGCAGTTTGAAGTCACCCTGCAGCAAGTGAGAGAAGAAAACAGGCAAGAGGTAGAGAACGTAAGAGAAGCACTCCAGGATAGGATTGATGAGTTGGAGGTAATTATTGGTTAACTCTCATACATGTTTGGTTTTCTTTCTCCTATTCAACCATGACAAATTTTATGGATGTGCCAGTGGTCTACAATTGGGCAATTGTACACGGATACTAACCAACAAAATTATTAATTTTGTTACATTTATTTTGTTATATTTATTGCTTTCACTAGTCTTATTTTCATTGATAAAAATGTTCAAAGTTCAGGTCTTGGGTCATAAGTTTTTTATCCTTTTGGAGAAAAAAATAATAGAAAAAGGAAAAGAAAAACAAAATTGTGGAAGGCTTCCGTTATCACTTTTGGATTGTTGATTACATAATTTCAATTGACGATTTCACATTGTTCTTTCATTCACTTTATTATTATTTATAGTATTTGCAGCATATCAGCTGAAAAGTATACTTTTTTAGTGCAGTCAGATTGCACCTTTGGCTACAATATTGTGTGTATATGAAATTTGTTTGATTGCATAAATCCATGTAAACATAATTCAGTTGATAAGAACTTCAAATCAATTTTCGTAGTAGTACCAGGCTCTCCAAGATATATTCTAGGCCTATAATAAAAAGCATTATGATAAACAGAATGGAGGTAAGTGTTATCTTTTCATGCACCAAGATTTATTTGCTTTTCATTACATATCTTCCGGTATTAGCATTCTGAAGAGCCCATTATCTCGTAAATTATCATTGTGTATATTTGTTTGAATCTATATCATTTATCTGTTGGTAAACATGTAGAGTGGCAATATTTTTTATTGAAATGCTGATATACATGTAGGAGAAGATGCAGGTATAGTGATATTTGACCTTTGACCTTTCGTTGTTTAAAAATTATTCAAATAGATAACCATAATTTGTTTGTATATAGATATGTAGTGAAGAAATTTTATTCTGTAAGATTTTTCAGTATGAGTACTGACTGTTACTCTTTTCAAAGACTTTATTAGATATCATATACATTTCTCTATAACCTACATGTACTTTTACCTGGAATTCAGTTATATCATGTACATTATAAAGCAACACTTCTTAAACATATAGCAACTATATGTCTATACTTTACTACAATAAAAACATTTTTTCCCTTTTTATATACTATTTTAACTAACCCCATTATAAAGAAATCAATATTGTGTAAGAAAAAATGAAATAACTGGAGCATGTATCACTGACAAAATCATTTTTTAGGAGTAAACAAATATCAGATCAATACTGTGTTCATTTCAAAATTGATGTTTAAGAGAGTCGGTGTGATTGAGAGAGAGAGAGAGAGAGAGAGAGAGAGAAAGAGAGAGAGAGAGAGAGCAAGAGAGAGAGAGAGAGAGATGGGGGAGAGAAAGAGAGAGAGAGAGAAAGCATACACAGAGAGCATACAGAGAGACCCCCAGGGTGTGAGGTTACCAGGATAGGGTTATGAGGTCATCTGACTTGACACATGGTGGCTGGGGACACCATGGCAACGTACAACAAAAGCAACCAATCAGTGATGGCGATATCTAGAAAAGAAAAAAAAACAACGTGACAGCACCTGTCAAATGTAAATTTTTGGTCTCTAACCTTGACAAACAGAAATGTAGAAAAACAGTTGCTCAACTCAAGGGATATATTCAAATCGTATGCCTGTCAGAAGTCTACCAAGCATCGATATTCGCAAGCCGCTGCATTATACTTTGCCTGATGTGTGGTATTTCTTGTCATGAGCAAAAATTGATTTGTTATGCTTCAGTGCTTGTATTATATGGACTTTCATAGAAATGGTTATGTGAAGCTTTGATTATTGGGATAAAGCACTATTCAGGTTCCTATATCAACTGCCACTTAATTGTTCTGTGCCTCAGGCAAATCTGGCAACGGGAAGAAAATAAAAATCAATTTTATGAAGGATAAGTAAATCAATTTACAACTGTCGTGATCAAGATGGAAGGATAAAGTTGTCAGCTTGTTGTAAACTTTCATCGTTGCACATACATAACCTGCAGTATTGGATATGAGTGTTGATGTCCTGGACTTCTGTTAATTTGGACCTTGAGCACATTAAAGCAACATTCAGTGCATGAACTTAGTACAAGTTTAATGACAACTCTTGCTTGTGATATCATTCAAACGTTTTATTCTGGATTGACAATGATGCACTTATTGGACTTCAGTGCTTACATTCACTCTGATGTTTGAAAAAACTTGTATTTTTGTAATACCTCCTCAGCAGTTGCTACTGTAGCAATCTTTTGTGCTGTGTTCCTTATGTTCGCATCGTGGAATAGTTCTTATTTTGATAATTTTTTTGTGTAAATTGTGGAAATGCACTTTGGAATGAATTGAAAGGAATAAGTCAAAATGTCTGTTGCAGTAGAACTTCAAGAACTGTTGTTTTCCATATCAAAAAAACAGGTTGGTCTATGATTGCATATGATACATCGATGTTGTATGGGGGTCTTTTGAAAATTGATGAAATGTTTTCAAAATACTTATGACTGGGATTGTTGTCATTAAAAGAAATTGAATTACTGTTTTTATTAGCTGAATTATTATTTATTGTTCATATATCTTGGATGTCTTTTTAAACTCCGGAGAATACTAGTAAGCATAGCTCATGATAATACCCATAAAAAGGACATGCTGACATTTTGAACTTACACAATGATTTAGAAACAGTATTTTGGAAGTCTAATGTAAATTATAGAATACAACATACATGTAGTGTCATAAAGTGTACTAACAACCTTATTTTGTTTTCTTTAGTATTACAGAAAATCCTTCAAAGGTAGAGATGTTAAAACACATAAAATCTGTTTTAATGTATCATGAAGTTTATATTTTTATTTTTATTATGAAAGTGTTTGCTCATAACAAAAACACTAAATAAATGTTCCATCATATTTTCATGATTTTTTAATTTAATATTTTGAAATTTTGATTATAGATAAAGATATATTGTATACGTTTGATTATAGATAAATATGATAATGGAACACTGATGTTTTTTTAATTTTAATTTCCTTCCTGTTTTTGTCATCCCCCCCCCCCCCCCCTCTCCCCCTCTCCTCTCCCCCATCCAGGAAGAGGCATTGAATCAACCCAAAGGCTGGGCTTCAGACTCAGAGGACGAGAGAGAACTCTCAAAAAGTTTGAGCCGAACATCTGGGGTAAGAGAAAAATATATGCTTGATATTTGAGGGTTTATATTCCGGTAGTCAGAAACCTATTTACCTCCATGCAGTATAATTGGCATTTTATTATGTTCATTCAGTTTTTAGTAGATATGAGATTGTAATAATCATCTTCATGTTCATGTGCAATTTAGTTAGCTTTTGCTTTTGAGCTCATCAAAATGTATATCATATTCATAACAATTACCTTTTTGCCAAATGAAATTTATATCCTATTTTGTATTTATTTATTTTTTATTTTTTGACCTAAAGTTAAGAAGAACAAGGAGGAATATATGCAATGAACTAATTGAATAATGCATGTTTATTGCAAATTTAAAGTATTTTGGTTATACATGTATCCACTTGTATGGTTGTAGTATTTAGACTTTGACATGATGGGGTGGCAAATGTACATTACTTCTACTGGTACTTTTAATATGGTTTCATATGGAAATTCAATTCATGCAGTTCAATAGATCTAATCTCACTTCCTACAATCTTAATTTTGTGCATGCCATATCTGTAACTCCCCATCCTGTCCTTGTCCTTGTCCATAGTGTTAGACCAGGGGGGCATTTCACAAAACTTGTCATCAGTGACAAATGAAAGTTTTTGTTATAAGCTACTGAAATCCTTGCTTCTGATTGGTTATCAGCAGATTTGTCACTGATATTTGTCATTTGTCATTGAAAAAAAGGCTTTGTGAAACAGGTCCCAAGACCAGAGTTGTACAGTATGTGATGAAGGTGGCAGATATCAAGTACATGTCACTCTACTTTAGGATTTCATATATTATGAACTTAATGCAGTTGTATGAAGTCTAAACACACTGCCTACATTCTTGATTTTATTTTCCATGCTACATCCATACCTCCCCACCCTGTCTACATTATGTTGATAGTATTTAGACCAGGAACCAGAGTTTGACATGACGGAGGTGGCGAGTAACGTCACCTCTCTGTCCCAGCCCCGAGAACCGGGCTGGGATCTTGACACCTTGGGGGATGATGTAAGTCTCAAAACATGCAGATCTGAAGAAAACAAACTAAATGAGTATCTGCCTTACTTTGTATTTAGCCATGATTGTGTTTAATATTCACATCCTGTTTGTCAAGGATTTGATGATCACCTGATTTGCTGTGTAATTAATTAATGACATATTATTAATGAAAATAATTAATTAATTTACATAGAGGAGCATTATTAAATGTACATGTACACTTCAACACCATCAAGGACATTTACTATAAAGCACATTTTCTTGACGTTAGAAAGTGCTGAAATGTACTATTACCTTACTAGGATTGGGCACTCAAACATTCAAGGAATTTATTCATGATAATTTACCCATGTACTACTTATTGGTACAACTAAAGAGTTTCCAAGGTTAATAATAATAATGATAACAATAGTACCGTAAGCTTTTCTTTGTACTGTGCCCATATCCAATTTGAAAGGTGCTCAAGGTGCACCAACTAATTACCCAAAATAAACCAATGTCTTACTCCGTTTATAGTGATTTACTCTGATATGTATCCAATGAAAGTATAATGTGGAATATCATCTCTCAAGTATCACCTAGAGCATTAGTGTGTACGTCTGCCCTTGATCCCCATTCACTCCATCAACTATTTTAATCCTTTATATTCATCTTGTTGATGCCTCCACAATGGTTAAAATCTATTTTTTTAACAATAATAAAAGCTTCCCGATGGTAGGGGCTGACTACTGTCATAAACAGTGAAATCTGTCCAGATAAAAAGTAAAGAAGCCATCTTAGGCATGTGGCATTGTAATAGATATAATGAGCCTATACAGAGGTTTAAGTGCTAGCTAACATCATCTCAAGATTGATGACAGAATTGTGTGTTTTCAGTAACATCATGATCTGTAGTTGTTTACATGTTCACCATTCACCTCACTCAACTTTTGTTGTTCTGCAAAATAAGTCATCAGAAGTGAGGTGTTAAAAGAATAGAGATTTTCCTCCACAGAAAGCAGTCATATAAAGCACAGAGAAATGAATGACATCACTCATTCACATTTTTGTAGATGTGTGCATTCACATTCAACCCAAACATTATACTTCATCATTTTGCTGTTTTGCACATTCATCACCACCCATCACTTCCATTTCTTTAACCTATAAATTAGGTTAATGACTTACAGTGTCAACCAAGTGCATTTGGTGACAAAATAATAATAAGTTAATAATATCATAATGATGCTGATAATTATGAAAGTGATAATAATATAATATTAATAATGATAACAATAATAATTATAATAATAATGAAGATGATAATAAAATTAAAAAAATAATAATAATGGTATTAATAATGATTATAATAATAATAATACAGATGATATAAAAGACAATAATAATAAAGATGATATAAAAGATAATAATGATAACAATGATAATAATAATATCAGTAATTTTATAATTAGAATAGTAGTAATAATAATAATAATAATGATACTAAAAATTTATGATATTTTCTTAATTCATGGTGGTAGTAGATTCACCTGAAGAGTATTACATTTAGATTGACTGATCTTGTATTATCTGTATATTTACTATATTATGTAATATCTAGATTGATTGATTATAATTTCTCATAACTAGTGTTTTCTAACCTACATGTAAATATAGTACATGCTTTCTATTGGCAGTCCTTCATTTTTAGGCTTTTTTGTTTAGTTGCACCTCCAAAATTGTATAATTACAAAATTATGGTTTTCTTCAATATTCAAACTCAAGTGAGTACCTGTATAATCTCAGTACAAAGGAAATTACAAATGATTTTATTTTCTTACCAAGTTTCAAATTGCTGAATGTGGTTTTCTATTGTCAGAGTTGAAGAATAGGGAATCTAGAAGTAGTTCAAAATGCCTTCAATCCTATCGGAAAACAAAAATTAAGACTTGGGTTTTAGATTTGATATAAAACAATAATGTTCCTTTAAACTGTTTAAAAATAAAAAATAAATCCTGAGTGAAGTGTGCTTCATTGCTTTGAGATGAATAAATTCAGTTTTGAACCTAATAAAGTCAAATATTGGAAGATGATTTTCCTTTAAAAAAAAATGATATTGGGATATTTGCTGTTTTGCCATAATTCATGCATATTTGTGTGATTCAAAAAGAGTAGAACACTAGAACATGAAGAACACATTAAAAAGGTGCATCCAGAACTTTATTTGATTGTAAAGCGGGAAATCCTCAGAAAAGCAGTTATAAAATAAGCTTTGTTTCTCGAAAGAAACAATCCTGTAGGACAAAAAAAAAAGGTGGAAATTCCACATGAAATTTGACTGCTCTGAGAAGTTACTTCTCAGTAAAACCATGCGAAGAAGTGATATGACTGTGCATGGGCGAGGTGGGTTTGCATGTGAGCTCTTACGGAGACTCATAGAATAGAATACCTCATGTTATTAAAAATCCAATGATGAAACATTTGGAAATAGTAGATTAAAACTTTCTAATTTTTTTCGCCCTAAGAGCTGAATATACACCATGCAACTCTTTTAAGTTTGTTATATTTGTAATTGCATGCATTTGCTGATGAAGAATCTTAGTATGAATTACTGTTTTTGCAAATTAAAAAGATAAAGTTAAAGGGTTTTTATTTCAAATGATTGAGGTGGTCTGATACGCAATGGCAAAATTTAATGCTTACTTTTGTAGCCATTTTTTAGCAATGATTTTGGTTTACTTTTGCAAGCTGTGTTTTTTTCTGCAAGCACATCTGCAATTCACTTTTATTTATTAATTAAAACAAACACAACACATGTACAGCACATAAGAGGAAAACAAAGAAGTCAATTAATTTTAATCAAATGTTCAAACAATTTTTTATTTAGTTTTGTTGTGAAAAATCTTGTATGAACAAGTGTCCATTTTATTCCATTGATTAGTACATGTCCATTCACCTGTGATGCAACAATTTTTGAGCCTTTCAAATCCTAATAAAATTTGAGGTATTTACAATAAAAAATGTTGTGAGCTATACATATACATGTAGGTTTATCAGAATGTCTAGGGGGCAAATCAACCAAAACATTTTGTTCTGAATGTTTTTTATTTCATGTTGTCATACTTAGAAAGAGATATTGCAAGTTCAAATACTCTCTAAATGAAGGTGTAAGACAGCTTGTGAGGAGACAACTATATGCACCCGTAAGCTTGTAAGCGCTGCATGCCACATAGAGCCGAAACCAACTTTGATTTTATGTTATCCATATTATCATCATACTTCTTATCTGTTCCTTATAGAATGCTGTCTTTCTTCTCCTTGTTGAAAGTACATTTACTCAATTTTTTCTATGTCAGCTTTAATCATGCTTTCAAAGAAATCTATTTGTAGACCCTTGAAGAGTATCCCCAACACTGTGCTCTGATTACAGTGTAGTAAGGTACATGTGCAGGGTATGCATAATGTGAACATTGACTAACCACCATCCCTGTCATTTATTCTCACAGAGAGAGCCAAGGAGTGGTCTTTCCAGCAGGCATCCTTCATCTGTAAGAAAACAGGTACAGAGCAGAAGTTATTGTTTTCAAATTATTGATTGGATGCTTTTACAAGGTTAACCTTGAGCCACATGCAGTCTATCGCCCATGTGTTCTTGTGGTATAAAAATCTTGTCTGAAGTTGTCAACTACCTGACTGTATTATTGAGCTATGTGTGCTGTGATAGTATAATCATTTCTGGATATGTATCTCTCGTATTTCGACTTCTTGTCAAAGAAATCTTTCATCTCCTCTATATACTATGACAGTTTTGTCTTGATGCAAACACGACATTCAGGTTAAAAAATTAATCACTTACTGCCAATTAAAAAAACAAAGACAAATACTGTGGAACTCCTGTAATGCAGCAAACTGAAATAGCAAAATATACGTAGTACTAATGAATATAGAACATTATATTTGAATTACACAGTTTAAATCTGAGGATGCATATCATTTGAACATGTAAGAAAAATAAATAGATATAATGTGCTAAACTGAAAATGTTGATTTTTCAGCTAATTTGACGCTCTACAGTATATATATGATTTCTTAGTATTCCTTGTTAAATGACATCAGCAATATAATTCTGTTATATCACAGGAACTACAGAGCCAACCAGGAACACCTAAGACCCTGGATCCCCCAAAGCCAAAGAACATTAATAAAGGTGAGAAAAAAAGATGCAAGAATGAGACAGAAAAAAGAAGCAAATACAAAATTGTATCTCTTGTGGTGACAATGGTGTTATGGGTATATTTTTACAAGCAAACAGGTGCCTCAGAAAGGAATGACATGTTTTATATTTTGAGTAGAGAGAGAGAGAGAGAGAGAGAAGAAGAAAAAAATTACTTTCACTGTTTTTATACCTCTCAAAAGATGAGATATGAGATATGATTTGTGACCTTTTCAAAAGCTTTTCCTGAGCTTTGTTGCATAAAACTTACCATTGATGGTAACTTTGCCATCAATAGCAACTGCCATGGTAATAGGGCTCAACAGCCAATAAAAATCAAGGTTTTCATGGTAGTTACCATTGATGGCAAAGTTACCAGGTCTTTTTTTGCTTCCCCTTAAACACCTTTATATTCAATGTGATGATTTTTCTGTAATACTTGTTTTGTATCCAGCGATTGAAGATGACAATTCTAGGAACAAGTCTGGCACCCCAAAGAAAGCAATGAGGACCAAGTCCAACCTAGAGCCGGTCCATGAGGTCCCCTTTGAGGAGAAGATTCCCCTTGAAGAGGAGGAGCGCTGGAGTAAAGTTCCTCAGGAACAGCTGCCATCAGCTTTCAAGCAGTATAGGAAAGAGGTAATGTTCTCATTTAAGCTTTTTCATTTTACGCAAATTTACTCAGCAGAATATGTTGTATAGATCTAGGCTTAGTTCTTAGCCAGGGTTTACATCCTGGCCATGTCTCATGCTCATATATGCTAATTTATATTTTTTAAGTCCAGGCTCTTTTTATAGTATAGATAGTCTAGTCTAGTTTTTTGCTAATATGTGCTTTTTGTTGAGTCCAAGTACGGTACATAGTCCAAGACCTGCAGCCTGGTCCAGACTCTTGCTAATATTTTCTTCTGTTTATTTGTGTATCCCAGGCTCTGTTCATAGTCCAAGACCTGCAGCCTGGTCCAGACTCTTGCTAGTATATTCTTCTGTTTATTTATGTATCCCAGGCTTTGTTCATAGTCCAAGACCTGTAGCCTGGTCCAGACTCTTGCTAATATGTTCTTCTGTTTTATTTGTGTATCCCAGGCTCTGTTCATAGTCCAAGGCCTGCAGGAAAAGATCAAGACGAACCAAGAGGAGAACCACAAGAAGGTCAAGCAACTTCGTAATCACATCCAGGTCAAGGAGGAGAAATGGGACAAGGTTAGTGTTGGGTCTAGTCCTTCTATATTATCCAAGTGCTAGTGGAGGGTATTAGCCCCACATAATCGACTCAAATACTTTATCACCACCTGTGCTACAGAGTTCATGAGCAATTATCTTTAAAGTACTTTCAAGTGTCATTTAAAAGAAAATTATTCTCTGTGCATTATCCATCCCCATAAAAGCATTCCTCCATGTAATTTGACTTCTCAATTCTATAACCTGTGTTTAATTTCTAGGTGAAAAACTTCGATAAAATATTTATAATACAGATATTGAATTTTAGTTTATTGAAACCACCCAGGCACTGATAGAGTTAAGAGTAAGGAGATGAAATATCATGCTTGTTAATGAAGTATAGTAATTCATATATTTATGCTATGTACATGTGTAGACTTTTGACCCTGCATCTCCATTTTGCCTTTTCTCAGGAGCGCAATACCTTTATCAAAAAAGTGGACTTAGCTCGAGACGCAGAGAGGGAGGCAGAGAAGGAAGCCGACAATGCTGTCTCTCAGCTAGAGAGCTTCGTCAAACAACATGAAGAAACAGTATGTATACATTTCTATAGTTTCTATGATTAGTTGTTTGTTGTCTTTTTAAATGGACACAAGTTTCAGCCAACTCACAAATTGCTGGGTTGATATAATTGCCTTGTTAATAAATCTGACACAAAAGGGATACATTTGTCGCATAAGAGTCTCTACAGTTCTACTTTGCTGTAACCATCTTAAAATGCCTTGGTGCTATGACAAGGATCAAAGTCATTTGTGAGAAGTCCTCACATTTATAGAAATCAGTAAAAATAGTCTGTAAATGACTGACTGTTTCTCTCATTTTGTAAGTTTTTGTAGATTTTTCCACTTCAAAAATTGGGAAGAATCTTTGGGATGGGGTGTCAGGTTTATTCACACATTCTTTGGGATACAGGAGCCATAATTATGTGAAATGTATCTAAATGTACAAGATTCTAGAAGAAGAATAACAAGAGTGCAATTTACAAATACATTTCACTCTCGGCATGTTTTGGTCCTCTCTTTTACATATATGTATATATATATATATATATATTTATAGGCGTGAAGAAAATGGTCTAGGAACGCGAGACGTAGATGTACTTCCTCAACCATTTTCTTCACGCCTACATATTTTGGAACACCAGTTGTCATGTCAGAGTTGAGAATTCTCGCACTTATATATATATATATATATATATATATATAATATCTCCGTCTCTATCTGTCTATCTATCTGTCCGTCTCTCTCTCTCTCTCTCTTTCTCTCTGTTTCTGTATCTATGCCTCTTTATCATATTGTCCTACCTTAATTCTTCCCTCCTTGTGTTCTATCCCCTTCAGACCAAGAATGCCATAAAGCAGGAGCAGAAGGCTCTGAAGACCCTCACCCCTGAACAGAGAGCCAAGTACCTGGGTGAATTCAACCCCATAGATATGGTGAACCCCATCACAGAAGAAAAGGTTAGTTAGACCTTCCACAACCTTTTTATGATTATACATGAGGGGTCTGTGCAGTATGTCCCATACAGCATAAGTCCTAATCCATTGATTTTATTAAAAAAAGGAACATTTCTTCATGTGACAATGGACTAAAATTTTCACATCAGTTTGGGAGAAAATTCAGTGGATGAGAGACTTATGTTGTACAAGACATTTTGGATGGAATGACCCATGAGTATTGCACACATGTATATGTTGACAGAATGGACATGACAGATATATTTACATGTTTAGTTTGTAGATAGTAGTCCAAGTAGGCGATATATTTAGACGGAGACAGATTATTTTAGAATTTTGTCATGGGATGAATGATTATAGGACTGTACAAATGAATAGCAAAGAAAATCATATACATGTTTTGTATCATGTAGCTTGCATGTGGATATATTATGTACAAAATTTGTGGTAAATGAACCATTGTATAATAGGAAATGCTAACCATACTATTAAATCTACTTTGAATCCATAGCATGTTGTCGACATTGGTGAAAAGCAGGTACAGTGTACATGTAGCTCTAGATAATTAAAAAAGAATACATTACATCATAGAAGACAGCAAATAGCAGCACTCCATGATGTTCATTTAAGTAGAAAATTGAGAATGGTACCATATCTCTCATCAACATTTCATGAAATCAATGTCACATTGCTTCTAAAAAAATGATTGCATTCACATGCTTCATCAGCCTGAAGAGGTTGAAAAGGAAGAGGAAGAAAAGAAGGAAGAATCCGAACTCCAGGAAGACAAGAATGAAACAGAAAAAGAAAAGGATGAAACTGAAAAGCTGGAAGAGGAGACGGAGGTAAAAGAAGAAGAAAAGATGGAAGAAGATAACAAAGAAGTTGAGGAGGCTCCAGAAATGGCAGACCAAAACACTCAGATGGACTCTGTCTTCATGATAGAGCAAGAACAACAGACATCAAGGATTCAGTCGCGTTTGGTAAGAACATCAGGCACCAAGCCTGGCTGATATAACACCCACAAAAGCAGTGTTTGTAGTGAGCCTTGAGTGTTCTCATAACATTTGACTTTGTGAAGGTTTTTGTCAAGTGGCCCATGTCCCAGTAAATTGTGTTGTTTTCAGCAGTGTCATGCAAGCTAGGCCATCGATTTCATATGTCTTTGAACATTTTTGATTTGTCAAATGGCCAATTGGTACATGTGCTCCATTTCAGTAGTGTTGTTTTTTGTGTGTGTTTAATTGTTCAACAAAATCAAATTTCTTACCCTCCATTTATTTATGGAGGACATATCTATGACAACGATGTGAAGAAAATGATACAGAATCTCTGACACTAAAAGAAAGAGAAAAAAATGTTTTACTACTAATTTTGCAGTGATTTTTTTGTTTTCAAAATGTTTAACATATTTTTAGCATGCACAGCACCTGTCTTTGCTTTTCAGGGGAAGACCAACTAGGAGACATAGATGACTTTTGAAACTTCAGCTTGATTTAGAGTGCCCATGTACTTGTCTTAACTGCCGATGTATAATTTAAATATGTCAAATTAATGTCCAGAAGAACAGAAATTATGAATCATGCCCGAAAGGGAAATAAGGTTGCCCTATGCATGTTCCTTTACCTTTTTTGTTGTTGTATTTTCAAAGGATTTATGAAGCAGGTGTGAATTGCTGTTACGCTTGCAAATGAAATGCATGAATGAAAAAGAAATAAAACGGACGTTATGAAAATGTGTATTGTGTGTTTTTGCTTTAGTTGTAATTGCTATTTTTTTTCTTCATCTGTATATGTTCTTATTGCTATTTATTAGACATTTGGATACACCTGTATACTTCTTTTGACTGTTTTTTCCTTTCTTTCATTGTACACTGGTTTATTAAGCATGGTTCTCTCGATTTGAAGGGGAAAAAAATGTATATACGTCATTTTGATAAAATTATATAGGATATTTAAAATTTAACGTGAAAGTTAAATTTGCAAGTTACAGCGAGACTCCTGCATAAGAGTTTTTTTTTCTCATAGAATTTTCATTTCTATCCTTTAAACCATCTCTTCATCTCCTCTGTCATGTCCTTCCATCTCCCCCCCCCCCCCATAATCCTTGACCCCTCAACAACCATTCTGACTCCATGACTCCACATGTACAATAACTATTGTAGAACCCAGAGCATGTGGAGCTGTTCATGAAGCTCCAGTCCACCGGTAGGTTGAAGAAGATGCCCACCGTTCTGCAAGAGGAGCTAGCAGCTGCCACCGAGGGCAACCAGAAACTTCAACAAGCACTTCTCAAGGTAACCACCGATGCTGCTGACTATGTAGGAACGGGCATTGATGTATTGGAGTTGGAGGGATCTCCAAGGATTCGTAGGGAAGATGATGGAGGAGAAGGAGATGGTGGGCTACCACACCCGCTGAATGATTTCCTCATGGCTGAGCCGTCGATGGAGAGCGGCATCTCGGTGGTGAGCAAGGGTGTCGCCAGTGTGAAAGCTGCTGGGTGCTACCAATACTAACCAATAGCATCCTTTGCAAAGCAGTATTACCCACAGTCTCGTCGGTTTTTATATGATGATAGTTACTGGCTTGCTGGTTGTCTTTGTTTCCTTGCTTGTGCTTGTATAATTACACCTTATCCCCTTCAACCAGTTGACTTCTGAATTATGTTACTCCCATAGCCCCAATTCAGGAACCACACAGTTCCTGTAGTTAATGGATTGACATTAACTTGATCTGGCATCTTCTGGAACTGAGTGTGGCATGTTGCAAGGAATGCAAGATAATGATATTAGAGAAAAGGAGATGGATCTGTGCTTTCATGAAATAATGTTTGTGTCTTGGTATTGACATCCAAGCTGTTGCTGAGAATTTGTCTTTGCTAACAAATGCTTAGTAAAATCTTGAGGAAAGAGCTACCAGCTTTTGTGTCTAACCCGTCGAGGAAACACTACATGCTTTAAAACTTGTGATACCTGTGATTTTCAGCATCCCCTACAAGTAAACATCTTTGTTCCTGGTGTGACTAATGCTTCTATCCCAAATATCCACCTTCTTAAATGACTTTGTTGTTGATGCTTTCATAAGAATTTCACTTTTGGCTGCTTCGCATAAGTGTGATGGAAAATGTCCCCCCCCCCCCCCATGTTGTTGCTTTTATACTAAATTATTTCCCCCTTTTATTTTTCTAGATTTTCATTCTCTCTCAACTTTTTTTATCGCTCTTGCTTCATAACTTTTGTTTTAGTCTTCCTCTATTAATTTTTGTATTTAGAAAGTAACACTGCTTTTAAACTTTTGCTATTGATTGTGAATTCCTGAGGGCCTTTAAACAAAAAATATTTAGAGTCAAGATGATTCTTTAGAAATTAGTATATTGACTTTTATTTACAGGAACACACGATTATTAATGCAATCTTACTGAGCAATGGTTAGAAAGTAGTAATGAACATAATGTATTGCAATTTACTGTGGACATTTTTCATCTGTTTTGCTTGTAAATGTAGGTATTAATAATGAGATAAAAAGAAAAAGTAAGTTGAAAATGTGTACAGTGTACATAAACAAGCATATACTTTATATGATTTCATAAATACCCCAGTTATGCTGGGTAATTGACTTAAAACCAAGTGATATCTTGGTCATTTTATAGAGTAAAGTCATTTTTTTATTGGTCTATTGTTGGTCTAATGTTAGTCTCACATGTGTGACTTGGGTAATTTTCTCAATCCTAATAAAAATTTACCGAGCAGAAGAAGCCAGTTTCACGTTCAACTCAAAAGACTCCGCAACGAAAATTACCTCCAAAGCATGCTAAGAAACCAAACAACCAGCGTCAGCGGGCGGGTACTCAACCCCAACCCAAGGAAGAGCCCCAACTGAAGCGCTCAGTGACGCCTGCTAATAGCACTGGCACAATCGATAACAATGAAGATGAAGTTATTGAAGAGCTCAATTTTGAGGATGGTGATGAGTACGATGAAGATAACATCGATGGTACAGAACTAGCCGATCAGTTTGAAAAGCTCTTAGCCTCTGGCTTGGTAAGAGTTGCCATCATCTCTACACTATAGCTAACAATCACTCCAGTTAGCATGCTCTACCAGTGGTGATGGAACTATATATTGCTTTAATTTATGACTACTATTGACAATAAAGAACATGGTTAACATATTAACGGGTATTGCATGTTGGTATGTAACAGTAGGAATTAAGATATGGTGTTTGTGTGGTAGACATTATCTAATATGCTTTCATTATCCTACCCATCTTATGCTTGATAATCTGACTTTTGTTTGCATCTGCTTTAATTTAGAGATAATCATCTTGACAGCATTAATTGTGTGTCCTGTAGAACAATGGTGCTTTGATTAAGCCAAATTAAGATTTCCAGTACCCCAAAATCAATTTGGAAAAAAAAACATCTAGAATTAATGGGCAAAATACCTATACTTATACCTATAATTCCAAGACAAATGTTAAATTTAATTTTGGAATAGATGCACAATTCTGTCAAGATGATACTTATATCATAAGACTGCATGCTGACTTTCAAATCTAAATGTTTTCAGGACTACATATTCATCTAGGAGAGAGAACCTAATGATGCTACATGGACATGTTTTGATGACTTGCTTTCCCTTTTTCTTTCCACAGAATGATAACAATAATTCCCTTTTTAAACAGATTGATAATTTACCTGCTTCATTTAACCTCATGTGCAAAGTATATTAACCTACATTTTTTTCCTCATCTGAAATACATTAGAAAAATGTTAAATTGATGTTTTAATCAGGAATGACATTACCTTGTTGTGTTGTTTGCAGACATTTATTTTAACGCAGGACCATAATGGAACATCCAAGTGACTACAATGTAAAGAGTTTCTTTCATATAAATATATTTGAAAAGTACAATTTCACTTTTAAGAAATATACATTCACGTACAATCACATGTATTTGTATCTCAAGTGTAAATTAGATACTGCATAGGAAGAGGATTTCAGATTTCCACTTCACAAAAGAAGCTCACCCTTTAGCAAAAGTTTTAATGAAAGCTTAAAATCTTTGTGATATTCTTTTTTTTTAAATCATGCTGCACTTTCTCACCTTTAAAGTGAATTAGCATACTTTTATTTAAATATTTTGTTTTACTGGTATCAAGTTGAAATACCATTCATTCACTTTTTACAATTGTTTCCACTTTTCATTTGTTATTTATTTTTTATTAATTTTTTATTTATTTTATTATTATTAATATTATTATTATTTTTTTTTTTTTTTTGGGGGGGGGGGGGTAATTTGGATTTTTCAGTTCAGCTGCCATGGAACATGATATTTTGCTTCTCATTTCAGATTTGTACTTATTCATTTCAAAGGTTGATTCATATGGGTTTTAATAAACAATTTTTTAAATGTTGTATTTGTGTAAATGTTCACTTTTAACATTTCAAGCTTCATTGAGAAAATGATATATATGCTTGCTACATGTATTTTTAAATTTTGCTAATGTGTGTACTCACCACTAAACTTGTGTGTTGTGCAATATTAATGTGCTTCATCAAAGATTTCTTCATGTTCTTTGTACACCTTCTGACGTTTCAAACACCAGCAAAGTATTTCCAAAAGGATGACACACTAATAGTTTCAACATAAATACAATGAAAATGTTTCATAGTTTCATACACCATCCTCACCCTGAATTTTAAAATGGAATTGAACCTTATAGATACTTGCTGGTTTCAAAGAATGTATTTTTTCCCCGTTTTTATTTTGAAACAAGAAAGTAGTTCAATAGATAAAAGATTCAAGGTTCAATAGATCAAAAATTCAAAATTCTTTAGTTTTATTAATTTTTAGTTCCTACATTTAAGTTGTCCCCTTTTTCCTGTTGAAAACTTAATGCAAATCAACAAATAATGCTATGTGTGTAAAAAATGGTGTAAATGTTTTTTATGGTGTTGCATGTTTACACATACACCCGTAATGTACCTGTATTGCAAAGTCATAACAATTTAGTCATCAAATTTGTGTATGTAGTAATTGTTCACATGGCTTGTCTGAAAACGGTGTGTAATAAATGCTGTATAACCCATGCAAATACTTATTTAGTTATTGCTTATTTAGTTAATGTTACTTTAAATAGAGATAGAACAGAAAGTAAATTTTAATTTGATTTAAACAAATTTAATTCTGCCATTTTGTATCCCTGTTTTTTTTTCTTGCAAAGAGAAATCATAACAAACAGGGATATCTAATCATGATTTATTGCTCTTGGAGGGAGTATATTCAAATAATACATAGAAGGGGAAAAGAATAATGTTGTTAAGAATAGCGTAAAACATTGGATATCTGAATAGTTGACTTCTACACAATATTCTACAGTATTTAGAGTAACTCTCAGCCACATCAATTAAAAACAAAATTTGCATAATGGTTTCACACATGGTCACTCTTTAAAAGGTAAGTTAACATTAGTTGATCAAGTAGAGTAGGAAATTTTAAGATGTGAAGCTTACCCAATTGATGAAGAATCATTGATATTTATTTCCCATAACTACATTTACACACATTTAGAAGACTAAGCAAAAATGAATGGAAGAAAATTTTAATTCTTAGACAATATACTTATATCATGCAAAGAAAGTAACATAGATGTACTTCTACCTCAATACTCTCTATTAGGAGGGAGAGGATGAGTTAGAGCGCCCTCTCTCAGCAAGCAGCCATCACAGCCAGCAGTCTCTGTACGAGAAGTTCCGTGCCCAGCTGGAGCAGCGTAAGCAGGAGATAGTGGAACGTAGGTCAAGAGCCACCTCCATGCATGGTTCACTGCTCAGCGCTAAGAGTGGCAGCTACAGGGATCAAGCCCCCAGTAGGGACTCGGCCATCATGACTCCGCAAGGGGATGTACCATTCCCTGATGAAGGTCAGTGGATGTAGTTATAAAAGTAAAGAACTCAGAAGATAGAATGAAGAATGCCTTTGATAAACATCCTATTCAAAAAGAAAATCAGCATGTAACCTAATTTTATTGTTTTCAAATAAATGTTGCCTTTTAGTTTCTGCTGTCATGACTGCATTAATTCCCCTTAATTCACTATTTACATCATGTACAGTGTATGATTAATTCATGGTTATTGTTTTGTTTAAATTTAGTGAAGCCATTTATTATATTCCTTACATTTTAGAAATTTGCTAATTAAAGCGTTTCATATATAATTAGAGAAGTTCATTCTACCCATTCAAATCTAATGTGTAATCTGCCCCTCCAACTTTTCCATGCTTACCACATTATGGATTCATCATGACTGCTTGGGATATTAATATACAATAAAAATAGAATATGACGACCCAGGTATGGTCCAAAAATCTTCAGCCGAGAGCTCGACACGTCCCCAGCAGAGTGCTGCTGTCAGCCATCATGACCAAATGAGCCAGGCTAGGTTAAGTACAGCAGGGTACCAGGGGCGTGTCAGCTCGCATCTTGTGAGTAGAGCACCCTCTGTGTCTGAGAGTGGTGTCTCCATGTTGGGGACGGACGACGAAGGGGGTTACTCTGCGGACGAGGAAGAAGCAGCAGGTGGATTGTTGCCTAGATTTATAGCCACTGCTACAAGTGCTAAACTCTATGATGGTATGATAAGAGTGCCATGTCACACATCAGCACACTAACCTGTTGATTGCACCTGAATTTGCTGTGGGTGATACACAAATAGACGATACCTCTTCTAGTAATTCTGTAGCTGCTGATAAATGCGTTAATATTGGCAGTTCTGTTAATTTAAGTGATGACAAATGGTCAGAGTGTCCTTTACACTCTAACCCTTGGTCACCAGACTTTAGAAAGAAGCACAATGATTGATCAAACCCGCAACAGTCTCACCAAGAAAAGTAATTTGAAAGATAGTCTTTTGTTACTTATTGAACACTCCCCATAACTTCATGATAATGTTTCCTTGAACTCTGTGACTTTCAATGCACATTCTTATCATGTAGAAGTTCATCTGAATCTGAACAATCCTTGATCTATTTTACTATTTTGTAAGTTCCCACATTCCATTTGATAGTTACTGTGCAAATTGTAATTTTTTTTTGTTGCTACTCCTGACCATCCCCAACCATGTTTAAAAACATAATTCAGCTTTTAGTTACAATGATTTCTATTTTGAAGAAAAAAAACATGAATCTAAATCAAATAAAATAAAATAGAATCATGTGACATACAAAATATATGATTGTATTGAAACTTTAGAAATAGATTTGGTTCCTTAATTTTGTACTGCGAAGTTGATTTAATTTGGTTTTAGTTGTTTTATTTTGATTGCTTTGATCTGCACCTTGTTGATGTCGATCCGACTCATTGAAAATATGTGTGTTTGCTGTGATTAGTATCTTGTTTACAAAAACCTTGTTTACTAGCTTGTATGTTATGACTTTTATAATTTAATGTCATCTATACCAATAAATTAGCTGTAATGGTAAGACTTTATTATCTTAATATAAAGGGTAAATTGTAGGAATCTGTTTTTTTCAATGTCACATATACTTCTCCCCATATGTGTTAATTTTAGTTTATTTATGTATAGTCTTAGGTGACTTATGAAATGTGTTTTGTTTTTTAGATTTGTTGTGCAGCAATGACATTCTTTGTTTCAATTGTTTAAAATAAAATTTCATGATACTGTTAACTGTTAAACTTGAAAATGTTGTGTCCATGATATATAACTTTTGAAATTTTTGAATTTTTATCCATGAAATGATATGGCCTACATCATTTTGTTTTTAATTTACACACATTTCTGGCCACAAAGAGGCTGTACTAGACAAATTACATAACTTGGTTTCATGTCATGGATGTGTCTGGTTTTTCAGTAAATCCTAAGGACAATCTTATTGACTACCTTACATTCACCTGGTAGCTCTTTGCCTATTGAGACTGGCTTGCTTCTGTTTTGAGTCTCTGAGAATGTAAAAACATTAGTAGTCAAAGGTTAAATGCTGGGCTTGGTATAGCCCTGGATGAAAGCCATTGAAAATGACAAATTTAAATAATGTTCTCTACAACAATTTAACAAAGACAAATTCAAAATAGAGATTGCATGTGAACAATCAATATTTCTAATAGTATCAACGGATATAGTTATGTCTACAGTGGAGGAAATCTATTTTCATGTAAATTATTCAGTGTGTCATGTTGTGACTGTATACTGGTATTTAATTTTGTGTTATTATTCCATTTTTCTATTTATTTCTTATTTCTATTTATTTCTTATTTCTATTTTTCAGTTGATAAGTTGGATATAGCTACCTCTCCCATTGCATATTCAACAATCAGTAAATCTTCTAGGTAAATATATCTCTTTTTCTTTTCTTTTTACACACCTTTCCTTTATTATAAGGTCTTCCAACAACAGTTTAACAACAATTTTGCAAGTCAAGGGGATCATTAATAATTGCTGATGGCACAAAATTTATTTAAATATTGTTTTGGAGTACAATGTCTATCTATGCAAAGTGTTTGATCCGAATGTATTCAGAGATCAATGAAGTTGGGATGCCTTTAAAGTCAAAATATCAACATTATTTGAAATCCATGCTATAATACCCAGATTCATTACCATAAATAGATAATCATTCAATGAGCAGCTGATTATCCAGTTGTCACGATCTTATAATGATGTATATTTATGTCACTATCCCATATCCATGTCCTCTAATCTTGATATCTTACAATAAACAGGCAATCCATAGAATCAATAGCCGATCATCCAGTTGTACAGGATTACCTCAAGACCTATCAGCACGTCACAGACTTCAAGGAAAATGTGATGAAGCTCGTCTATGACAAAGGTAAGAATAGAAGATTTGTTAGAGCAGATTTAGTAAGTAATATGACAGTGGATGCCCAGCTTACTACATGCAATGATCCAGTCTCTGAGCTAAATATGGTATGTTCTTTTATTTCATCCATAAATCTCTCACTTTGCTCATGACTAATGGCTCTTTGTTGCATCACTACCATAAGTCAACTGTTGTATCAAGAGATTTAAAAACTAAAAAGGGGATGAAACAAGTAGTATGTACTATGTTTTCATTGCATAATCTAGCCAAAACTCACTTCTCTATCAAAGATACTAAAATATTATTGTACTAAAAATCTTGACAAAAAGTATGTAGAGATTTTGTTTTGTTTTCGTGTTTCAGAATTTGGAGCGGCACTGGAACAGCTGGCTGAAATGAAGACACTACAGTTCGATCGTGATAGCAATGTGCAAAGCCAAGTATCACACATGACATATAATGTAGAAACTTGTAAGTATACAATATAGTTAGATGGCAGTGTAACTACCTGGGCCTGTTGCACAAAACTTACCATTGATGGTAACTACCATGGAAACCTTGATTTTGATTGGCTGTTGAGCAATGTTACCATGGTAGTTGCCATTGATGGCAAAGTTACCACTAATGGTAAGTTTTATGCAACAGGGCCTAGATCTAGTTTAGTATTTGTATATCAGTCATGAATTCAAATATATAAAAAAAATATAATCTGATGTTGTTTATAGGGGAAAAATTAAAGTTATTATTGTTACCCTGTAGAATGTTTAAACTACAGTATCATCTGAACAAAAATTTAAAACAAAATTGGTTTTCATTGGAAAGAAGCCATTAAAGTGTGTTTTATTTCATTAAATCTTTGGTCTCTAGCTATAAAGGAATTTATTCTACAAATGTCAATTTCCTTGTTTGCTTGTTTCCCTTCAATTCCAAGTGTTTTAAAGGAATTTCTTATGCATACTTGAGGGCTCCAGAAAATCTCATTTCATTAGTCATTATCAGTTAGATGTATTCATGTTTGCCAGTCCCACTAATTCCTTTATTGATGTCTATTCTTCCTCTTGATAGTCCTGAAGGAGATCATCTCTATCTTTGGAACTGTCATGACCACACCTGAACCAGTAAGTATTTCATTCAAAGATTTCAAAAAATAGTTCCTTTTCCTTTGCTCTTTACAGTGACTCCTATTGTTAAAGCACATGTAAGGCATGATTTACCAATTTGATTCAGATTATGGCTGTGGAATAAATGTATGTCGTTGATATATAGATTTATATATTCCTTAATTGTTATGATTATATAGAGACTTAAAATTATTTATTTCCAGTGTTTCTTGTGAGAGTGTACAAATCGACATATTGTAATTTCTTTAATTTTTCATTTTTTTCACTAAAATTATACGCTTTGAGAAATAAAATACCACAGAAATGGTATTCTGTAGCTATTGCAGTAGGCTTAGTTGATAAATAATGGTCTTGAATGTGGAGTTCACTACGTTCAAGATAAAATACTAAGGGTAACGCAACCAACCATCAACCCATCCATTCATTTCAACCTTAAAGATAAAGACCAGTGATGGTTATGCGATTGCATTGTGAAAGAAACGTTGTGGAATCGATCAGAAAAGGTCGATCATCTAGCATTGTACACAGAAAGATGTATATGGGACTACTCACACGTGCGCGACACGTGCGTTTATCTCTCACACACCAATAGATAAACTAATTTACCAAATATATGAATTAGTAGGCGGTTTCCCGGCAAATTTGTTATCATCATGTATTAGTCAAAACATATTCATTCACATGATTGGTAATAAGAGCTTCCATTTTATTTTTTGAAATTGGGGCATTTCCAATACTGGTCTTTACCTTTAATACTTTCACCCTTATAGGAAGCGGCAGTGTCTTCCCTAATGATCTCGAGAGCCGATACAGGCAAGTCTAGATTTGGAGGTCTAGGATTCCAGCTCCTTCCTTCAGACGCTATCCAGGAGGGCATCCCGGTGGGCCTGGAGAGGGAGATGACCGATATGACCTTCCAGTCCAGTGAGAGGGCCAAGGAAATACAGGAAAATTATGACCGGCTGTGAGTAAACTTTGCTTTAATAGTTAGCTCTGCAAAATGTAGTGGTAACTAAAGAAATATTTTAAAGCACAGAATACATAGTTTGTTGATAATTAAGACTTTCTTGCATAGAGGCAGAACCATGCCATTAAAGCTAGTACCTGTAGTCAAACCTGTCTATAGCGACCACCCAAGGGAAACACAAAAAGTGGCCTGTGAAGACAGGTGGTCACTAAAGCAGGTTTGACTGTATATTAATTACTACCTGGGTTGAGAGGGTTGAGATCTAGAGGGATAATCTGGGTAAAAACATGTTGTCCAAGGGTTGTAATCCCTCACCGAAGGAATCAAACTAAGGATGATGTTTAATAGACGATTATTTTCTTATCTTGAAATTTGCAGGAAACAAGAGGCCGGCAAACAGCAGATGGACTATGAAGACAAGCTCAAGTAAGTGCATGAAGCTATTATGCTGTAAATGTAGAGTACTTTTGTTAATCTTAATTTGCGTGGATCTGATTTTTAAAAATAGTAATGATCTGCATAAAATTGTCCATTGGAGCTCCAGGAAAAAAATTAAGGGGAAAAAAGAATAAGATGAAGAAAACAAAGTGATTGTGGTAAAGCAATAAGCCTAGATAATGGATTTTACTTGTAAACATACAATGTATTGTCTTATCCTAAAGAGAGATTGTGTAACATATAATGTGTAATTTGGCAGTCACTTAGATACAATTAGGGCTCTATCTGAACATTTGAGCCGGCAATCAGTTTACTGAATAGTATGCTGTAAGTCCCTAAACCTATACTAATACACAGGTATAATTGATTTAATTGTATTTGATTCAATTCTAAGTTAATGCTACAGCCAGGAATAAGTCAGGGGTTATTGAAATTATGCTGTCATTAGTCCCAAACATCTTGGATGAGATGGATACGTGACGGAAGGGGCAATACACTCTTTGATTGTGGCAAAGTCGCGGAATGGGCTATCCACCACACTAAAGACTGGGACATCTGTGGAGCAGTTCAAGAAACTTTTGAAGGTCCACTTATTTGTTAGACAACATGGACTTGGAGAGTTTTAATACACATGTAGTCTAAAGCGGCTGTAATAATTCTTAACGGAGCAAACCGTGACACCTTTTGCAACTGCAAGAAAGAGGCACTTTAAACCAATTAAGATTGTATTGGATGGGATAGGATGCATTTTGAAATTGAATTGTAATTAACAGTCCGATGTATTTATTTGTGTGTATAGTAACAACACTGTAATGATGATGGAGATGCAGAACACAATACAGGATCTACAGCAGGAGCTGCAAGCTTTAGAAGGAGCCAAAGCAATGTCTTCAACCTCCAGGGTCTCCACTGCTTCGGCTGGCAGAGATCTCCAGGTGGAGCCAACCATCATTTTCTCCAGGTCCGACTCAGAGAGGAACCAGAAAGCTCTCAAGAGGGGCATCAGTGCACAAAGGGTAAGAGATGATGTGCCCAGGAAAGTTATAATGTAGGAAGTTATTAAACATACCAGTACATTATTGCAATTGAATTATATGCAGATGAGAAATGGTCTTAAATACTATTGTACTTTGTATTTTACAAAGTAATGTGCAATTCTGTGGATTAAGGTGCTCATCCATAATGTAAAACACATGATAGTGTTGCATGTCTCAAAGTAGCTCAATTTCTTAAGGAGTAACAACGAAATGGTGAAAGGGTCATGCGATGTTACTATATAGGTACTCTATGACCTTCATTTGCATTTTCACAGGAAATAGACATATTCATTACTGTGACAGATTCTTAAGGACATAATAACCACCCTGCTCTTAAAATGTAAGTAGAAATGAAGTTTGTGTATTCAATGACTGGAATTGAATACTATTCAGTGTACTCATCATGATCCTTCGTCATCGATGATATTAAAGAATGTTATCATTTCTCAATAGGTGTCAGCAGAGCAGTACAATGAAGCTGTGAGAGCAATGGAACAGTACACTGTTCTGCCTGCTAAGAGGCTTGTCCATATTGTTCGTAAATACTCCCATCACACAGAGATGAAGAAAATTGAAGGTAAATTTTTCAAAATACCATATTTAATCTGTCACATACCTAGGCTTTTTAAAATGAGAGGTGTTAGTTATCATCAGAGACTGTGGCCATTATCAAGTCAATTATTAAATGTGACTGTGAGTTATCCAAAATATAGCCATTCACTTCTACCAGGAACGTGGATATTCCAATTAATTCCTTGAAGCCAATTATTGGTGTTTTTTTTAAATCATGTTCAAATATTTACCAACAAGTCATATTCTGCATGCTCAATGATTAATAGGCAAAATCATGAAAAATACAAGTAGCCAATATGCATATAAATGCACTCTCATCTCTTTCATCTTTTTGTTTTATTGTTATAAACCATAATCTTTACCATGAAATTTTTATGCAGTAATTTCAACGAAACTTGGATTTCCGCGTATGCTACATTATTAATCTGCTTTGGAAGGAATAAAATATAAATTATTTAAAGTGTTGGCTGTGATTTCATTTTGATACATGTGTAATATGAATTTACAAGGACTCGTGCCTGAGTTATCAGGGGCTTGGTATTGAATGAATTATGATTTGAGGAGGGATAGGAGGGTGTGCAAACGAATGAAGAAAAAAAATTGCAAGATTGTATAACAAATATTTTTTAACGTAATGAAATGTCCTTGGAAATGTGTAAGTTCTGAATAATTATGAGTTTTATGTTTTTTATAACTTTGATATTTGTTTGCACAGATGATGTAAGACATAGCAACTCAATAGACCAAGAAGTCTACACACTCTTAGAGAGAATGGAAACACTCCAAAGTAAGGTAAGAAATTGCAATGAAACCAAGGCATTCATGTGTGATGGTGATGGTGTTAATATTTCTGATACTTAACTATACAAACTATTTTATTACCAGATAAGTGAGTCTTCAAATGCCAAGTTGTATGACCATGCCTTATACTGCCACCAAGATTTTAAAACATATATATATATAGAAGAAGAAAAAAGTTTTTAAAATGTGTATAATTAATTAGCTTTAATTAGCGTATTCTGATTTTACAAAATATTTTCCCCATGCAATATTGTAGACTTTATGGACATCTATCACCATGCCGATTTGGAGTCCATCAGAGTTTCAGTTACCGAGATCTTAAAGGGGGGGGGGGCTTTTAGCTCCCCCTCCCATGTTTTAAAGGTTCAAAATAGCCCCGTCTTGTTAGGGTTAAAGAAGACATATCATCTTCTCTTTTAGAAGATATGAGATCCTACTTAAAAATTATGACCGTAAAACCATTTATGAGAGTGGAAGGGTTCATGAAGTCTTGATTTGTTTGTATGTATGTGTTTTGTGCAGAGAGCACATCGGTGGGGTGAAGAGATGGATAACTTGACTGCAGAGAGGAATCGATTAGCTCACCTTCTGATGGACACACTAACTCATCTAGAACAAGAGTCTGGTATCTTCATGATCAAACCAATACTCTCATGGAAGGGAAGGTATGTCACTCTCTTCTATTCTGCTTTTCTCTTTATCAATCTTTCTTTTCTCTCCCTCTCCGTTTCTCTCCTGGCATTGAGAAGATAAATGTATGCATCTACTGCAAATTTCACAATACCTGTCAAAAACGGGGCTTTTGCTATGATGAAATACAGCAAAATTAGGATTAGAATTAGTAGTAAGGGGGAAAGAAAAGAAATGAAATAAGGTTGATTATTCCACCCTGTTGCAAGATCCTGCAGAGGCGTAGTTGTTCCAGGAAACATTTGATACATGAATCATTTATTTTTACAGATTAATATACGTAGTGCATTGTTTTTCTCTATGGTTTGTCTGATTGAAATTAAATAACCTAGAGGCTTTTGCGCAACGTAATCCTCAGAGTCATCTAAATAATTGATGAATCCTTTTCACCAGATTAACTTGAATAATTGATTGGAGTTTAAGGGGATTATTCATGGACATTTCAGTTCAGGCTTTATGATGGTTACTTATTCAGGTGTTATTGTGCATGAATCATGACATTTCATTTTGCCTCAATGCATAAAAGAACATTTTCAATCGAGAAGTAGGTCTCAATGCCTTTTTATTTACCCTCTTGTGTAGTTGCCACATGTAGGTAGGCATAACGGTATTGGATTTACAGAAATAAAAAGTAGCTTAATATTCACGAAGGTTTCCCATATTTTAAGTTCTAGGTTCCACTCATAGCAATTACATTATAAGTATCTTTTAAAAGAAAATACTTTGTACACTGAACATTCTCATTGTTTGTGGTAAGAAATTTGTCGTCAATATCCCTTTTATGATCAAGATCCCAGGATATGTTTTGTAATGTATTGTAACTTTTGATTAGACTGTCTTAGAATATGTGGGAGACTTGGAAGGTTTAATATATTGTAAATGGGATGAAATATTATATTGTAAATAGGATGAAATATTATTTAGGGGTAAAGTGTATGCCAGAAGGGGGAGGTAATATGTCCATAATGATATCAACTACATGACTTGTACATTGCTCCATTACACTTCAAACTAGAGTCAAGAGTACATCAAAATGCACATGGATGTTAAAACTAGATTTAAGTCTTTTTGATAATATTTTGCTCAAGTTCCCATCTCTTTATCTCTATTTTGTTCTCACAGAGGATTCCAGCCTCAGTACCAGAGCAAGCTGTCTAGCTATCAACCTCCCAAGCGTTTATTGAGACCCATCACCCCAGAGGACAGGAAAGGCACCCCCTTCACCGTTGTCCCTGCCCCCACCCCTGCTAACCAAGGCACCAAGGCTGGCTTCAGACCAGGAACAAGGGTATGTATTCAAACCAATAGTTGTCATGATAATCATAATCATATTGATAACTATCAGATCAGTTGTCATAATGATTTACTTTATTAAAACCATATGAATATATTACTCCATCTACTATTACTTCATGTATTACTACATTTACTGCTGCTGCTATGACAACCTCAATGATTATTGCTTCTACTACTTGTTACCACAAACTACTACTACTACTACTGCTACTACTACTACTACTACTGCTACTACTACTACTACTGCTACTAATACTACTACTACTGCTGCTGCTGCTACTTCTACTACTGCTGCTACTAATAGCAATGATAAAGTAATAATTTGTACAGCGTATATTTTTATAATAAACTATTTTACCGATCTCCTGTACAATTTACATATATAAACCTGAATACCTAGTATGACTAAGAGCTTTTGGGTTGTTATTGACATTGTCATTGTGAATCTTTATGTCAGCTAGATTGTTTTATGTTTGTGTGTGCTCAAGTAGATCAGTGTTTTTGAGAAATAATTTGGTAACCACTGAGAAGCTGTACTTTGTACCATGTACGTGAGATTGCACATGCTCCAATTGATGATTCATACGTTTCATATGCAACAATAGCTCCTGGTGTAGCGCTTGAACTGCTCTTTAGTATTGTATGTTAATGCTACCTATAGTTTGGAGTGTTCTTGGAACCCAGTTATATTTGAATGTGTTTGTAGAATTAGCCTGTCATAATAATGCTAGTAAAAACAATTCATGAGAATTATTTAGACATAAAATGGTTTGTTCGTCAAACTTAATTTTCTGTTCTTATAAGCCTGAAGTCAAAAGCATTACAAAAGAAAGAAGAACAAAAAGCAGAAACAAAACACACACACACACAAAAGTACTAACAACCAGACCTTTGAGTGGGTTTTGAAATGGTTTACTCATGAGATTTTACACTAATGCGTGGCATGACTTGATTATGTTTAATATCATGTTTGAGAGTTGATAAAACAAGAGCTCTTCCTTGTTCCTCCCTTCTCTTTAGAATTCTTCCGGTACACCTGGAGGAGGGGGTGACACTCATCGTCTCTACACATCTTCGGGCCATAACCCCAATGGAGGGGCATCCATTAAGGGGTATGCTGTGCAGATGGTAGGGGAGGTGCCCCAACCCATGTGGTCTATGAGCACCTCCCTACCCACCCATGCAGGGGAAGGGGCGGGCAGTGGTGGGGGAGGACTGACAGGGAGGCTCAACTTCATGACCACACCCCGTCTCCTGGAGCTTGATGTGAACAGGCTCTTGATTGGACAGAACACAGTCTCGTGAGTATTCAGTAGACAGATAACATGTGTTCATCTTAGAGAAAGATATAATTGCATTTCTAGGTTTATTTGTGTGTGTCAAGCATTGTGTATGTACAAGGAACTCAAAGTTTAATTAGGAACTTTAAATAAATAAGTTTGCACATGCATCTGTTCAGGGTTTGTAGAATGTATATCGGCTCATAGCATATGCATAGGGAGAGGTGCTTACTGCAGACTATGTGTTCAGTAAGCATTTACTTATAACTCAATGCCTTTGAAAAGATATGCACTGACAATAAATGTATATCCACATTACATGTGGGTAAAATGACAGCTGACTCTTTGAGCATTGATTCAAATTGTGGCCCTTATTAAAATTATGTTGAAATCACAAACAGTGCATTTGATTTATGAAGATCAATAATTAATCTAAATGCTTAATTTCTAAACAGAGCTGCTACCAAAGCCATGATGAGCAACGATCGTCTTGTAAATGCAGCTAATAGCAGTGTGAGATCGTATGTGACGATATCAAGGCCTTCAACACATCCTGCTGTGCCTAACCTTAGACCATCTAGACCCAACTCCTCAAGTAAGTTCAAAATATAGGTTATTCTTAATTATGATTAAAGAAAATCACTATGCTGAAAGTGAGTATTTCTATTATTCTAGACGTTGCAGGTGTACCAGAATTATCAATGAATGATTACATTGTAAGAGAAAGTGGACTGAGACAAGATTCTCTGTTTGTGATAAATCTTTTTATATTTGATCAATAAATTTAAGCTTATTTAAGGAATGTTGTGCTGTAAGAATCAAGTGAAATATTATATTAGTGTTTTTATGCCTCCGTTACGAAGTAGCCGGAGGCATTATGTTTTCGGGTTGTCCGTCCGTCCGTCCGTCCGTACGTCCGTACGTCCGTCCGTCCGTCCGTACGTCCCGTTCTCGTGATCGCGTTATCTGAAGAACCGATTGATGGATTCCTGCCAAACTTTGGTCATGTATGTTACTTGCAGAGCCGATGAACTGATTAGATTTTGGGGTCACGAGGTGAAAGGTCAAAGGTCACAGGGCTCATTATGTATGCAAAAACAGCTCGTGATCGCGTTATCTGAAGAACCGATTGATGGATTCCTGCCAAACTTTGGTCTTGTATGTATCTTGCAAAGCCGATGAACTGATTAGATTTTGGGGTCACAAGGTCAAAGGTCACAGGTCACAGGGCTCATTAGGTATGCAAAAAGAGCTCGTGATCGCATTATCTCAAGAACCGATCGATGGATTCCTGCCAAACTTTGGTCATGTATGTATCTTGCAGAGCCGATGAACTGAATAGATTTTGGGGTCACGAGGTCAAAGGTCAAAGGTCACAGGGCTCATTATGTATGCAAAAATAGCTTGTGATCGCATTCTCATTAGAACAGATTGATGGATTCCTGCCAAATTTCGATCATGTATGTATCTTGCAGAGCCAATGAACTGAGTAGATTCATGGGTCATGAGGTCAAAGGTCATGGGCTCATTATGTATCCAAAAATAACTTGTGAACGCATTCTCATTAGAACTGACAGATGGATTACTATTTAACTCAGGACATCTTGCAGAGCCAATGAACTGAGTAGATTTTAGGGTCATCAGGTCAAAGATCAAAGGGTCATATATGTATATGAGAAATTGCTTGTAATCACGATATTCTGAGAACCTCTTAATGGATTACAATTGAACTTGAATTTGAAAAATTTCTTCTGTTTTGGTTTGTAAAATTGCTCTATGACGGAGGCATCATTTTCGACTGCGCGCAGTCGAAGTTCCATCTAGTTCTCAATTTTTTTAAATCAGTATTGTATGCTACTTAGCTTGGAAATGCGTGTACTTGCAGTTTATTCCTCTCTTTTTTTCTTTTCTTCTTTTTCTTCTTCTTTCTCTTTAATGAGTACTCCTCTATTCCTCTTAATCCTCCTCTTCCTCCTCCATCCTTTCACCTCTTCTCATCACTCCTACACCACCTCCCACTCCCCTCCCCTTTTTTTTATCCTCCTGCTTCCGTCACTCCTCATGTCCTTTCCCCCTTTCCTCCCCCTTTCCACCCACTTCCCTCCCCTTCTCTTTATCCTCCTTTTCCTCCTTCCAATCGCCCTCTTCTTACTTCCTCTCCTTCTTGCTCCCCCCTTAATGCCCTCTCTTCTAGTTTCTTTTCCTTCCCATTCCTCCCCTTTCCTCCTCCTTACCTCCCCCTTTATCCTCCTCCTTCTCCCTTTTCCTCTCGCCCTCTTCTTACTTCCTCTCCTGCTTGCCCCCTTAATGCCCTCTCTCCTAGTTTCCCTTCCTCCCCCTATCCCCTTCTCCTCCTCCCTCTCCTCCACCTCCATCCTACTCTTGCATGCCTGCCTGCCACCTCCTTTCTTTCACCTTTCTTCACTCTCTTCTTGCCCTCATGCTCACTCCTCCCTTTTCACTGTTCCATTGGTCATCTTCCCTTTGGCGATGTCCTTTTAATATTGACAAATTCAATAAATCTGACAAAGCCTCCAGATGAAAAAGCAATATCTTTAAATGCAGAAGAGCAACCAGATAAAAAAAATTAAAAATGTAAACATCACCATTTGTCCACTCGGTGCCAAAGATAGAATTGATGTTGCATTAGGAAAAATTAATCATCAGTCTACCTGCACGAGTATGAATCTTTGTCTTGAGGGCATTGTGGAAGAGCACACTCTACACTGCTAAATGTCAAACACATATATTTTTGTCCAAGGCATGAATCTGATTGCACCACATTGACACTCTTGGTTTGATTGTACCTGCCCAGTGTAGCAGAAAGTTGGTTGAAGGGCAGAAATGATAGCACCTCTATTGGTATATGAATTGCACAATTACATGTTCAGTCAAAAAATTCATATGTATTTTTATGGTTTAGGGCCAGTATTTATAAACGAGTACTAATTTTACTCCAGGTTCTTTCAAGTGGGTAGATTTAGTCCATAGTGCTAACCTCCTAGTCCTGTACCTTAATTCTGTAATAAACTGTACATACAGAAATCCTTTCATGAAATGAATTTCTCACATTTCATTTTATGACTGCATTCATTATTATGTTTTCGGGTTGTCCGTCCGTCCGTACGTACTTCTGTTCGTCCCGTTCTCATGATCGCATTATCTCAAGAACCGATTGATGGATTGTTGCCAAACTTGGGTCAAGTATGTATCTCGCAGAGCTAATGAATTGAGTAGATTTTGGGGTCACAAGGTCAAAGGTCATGGGGCTCATTATGTATGCAAAAACAGCTTGTGATCGCGTTAGCATTAGAAACGATGGACGGATTAATTACCATCAAACTCAAGACATGTATGTATCTTGCAAAGCCAATGAACTGATTAGATTTTAGGGTCATGAGATCATGAGGGTCATACATGTATACAAAAAATAGCTTGTAATCACGATATTCTGAGAACCTGTTAATGGATTACAATCAAACTTTATTTTGAAAAATTTCACTGTTTTGGTTTGTAAAATAGCCCTATATGGCAGAGGCATCATTTTGGACTGCGCGCAGTTGAAGTTCCATCTAGTTATATATTCACGCTACTATAGTGTAAGAGTAATTTTAGAAGCGTAACTCTTCATGCTTCAAATCTGTAGAATAAGATTTAACTTAGCCCGATTGTCTCTGGTTTTACAAATACATCTATTTGCAATCAATATATTTTTACAATCGCATATCACTAACAAAAATCATGTCATAGTGCATGTACCAATGAAATGTGAGGCATGGAGAACTTTAGATCTCATTTTAGGAGTGTCTACGAGGAGATTTTCATGATTGAGAGAAAGAACATTGTCTTTTCTGGGACAAATTATGTCATTTAAAATCGTGTCTGTTCAGATTCTGTCATTTGGAGTCAAACAAATTTCGCTTTTTGCCTAAAGCAGGTTCTGAAAAGAAATAAAGACTTCTATCACTGTACAGCAAGAGTAAATCAAATAAGGCATTCACGCACATGAAGCATTTATGGTTTTCTTCATGAGTTTTGGATCATTTTCTAGGCATCCCTCAGGATGTCCTTCATATTAGGTTTACTGAGGCAGTTGGTGTCTATTAGAAATTTAGAAACCATTTGTTTGGTGTTCAATTGGGCTTGCTCTAATTTGATTGTATTTTAGATGAGGGGTTAATTTAGTAATGATATATCATTGATATCATAATCATTGTAATAGTTAGAAACCATGTGGCTTGATGTCAAGTTGGGCATGGTACCATGTTAATCATTACATGAAGGCTTCAAGTTCATCTAGTAAGGAAATAGTATGATAATATACAAATAATACACAGCAGTGAGGGCATTAGTAAGAATTACCCACACAGGGTACATTTGGAACAGTCTAACATGCCCAAGGCGGTAGCCAAGGGTGTTTGGACTGTTTTGAAGGTACCGAGTGTGGGTAATTTTACTAATCTTAGAACAAAATGCTGAGTATTATTTGTTTTATAAGATTATGTTTTATTTGTTATACAAAATGATGTTTTATAACATGTTTTCACTAATGACCGGTCATTAGAATTGGCTAATGACCGGTCATTATCCAAATTGCGCGTTAGACAAAATAAATGCCTGGTCACGTGTACGCTTTCAACCAATCATTTGATTAGGATCAACGTCATCATCTTACAGTATAAATTATTTTTAACATAATATAAACGTGTATTGAACATCTCCATTTATTAGAATCTATTTGATGTTTAGTTGGCCATGCTCATAATTTGGTTGTACAATGTAGTATAGGCTGGGTTTTCATGTAGTTATGATTTATCATTACAATATCATTTCTCACAATCATTATAATAATTGATGTAATATCCATTAAAAATCCTTTGTTTGATGTTAAATTAGGCATGCTTTAATTTGAATGTAATGTGTAATGGGGCCAATCTAAGGAAATGTCATTATGAAATTAAAATATTAATTATAATGATTTTATAATTGATTAGAGATGTCTACTGGGAAACCATTCATTTGATATGTAATTGGGCATGTACCCAGTAATTGATTTAATGTTAATCAGGCGTGCTATGATTCGACTTCAATATAAGTCGGGGTTCATGTAGTATTAAAATACCATTATACTATTAGATATCATAATCATCACAATTATAGATATCATATCTATTAGAAACCAATTGTTTTATGTTCAATTTAGCATGCTGTTGATCCAATTATTACATGTACACTGTATGTGAACTGGAATTACTGTAGTAGAAGGGACTGTTCTACTATAATCTTTGAGGCTCGTTCAGATATGACTTGGTAAACTGTGACAAAAAACACTCCATTTTTGTATTAAACGTGTGAAATGAATGGCAATTCAGAGCAACAAAGGTTCTTCCCATATTCATTTAGTTCTTGATCATAAGATACAAAATTATGGAGCGTATAACACTTTATGTCATCAATTAAAAAATGCTGTGGTTTACCCTAGCAAATCTTAACAAGGCTATGCCAGTGTATTAATAGATATCAGATTTATTTGATACTATTTTGGGGGTATTCAGTTGGGCATGCCATTGGTTCGATGGTGAATCAGACTTACTAGTAAACAAGAACACAAAAATTTGACTTCTCTTATCCTCTCAAAGCCTGTCAAATTGTATCTTAAAGTGCACCCCACAAAGGATGGTTTATGAAAGAGAAATTTCTCTACCTCAAAGCGACAAATACGCCCACTTTATGAGAGGCAGTGTTTGAGCCTGGAGTCCTATGAAAAGCTACTGTATGCTTTAATATACATGAACAACTATTTCAACCATCCAAGTTTGAATGTCACATATGCTGATGTATATTGTGAATTGTGGATTATTTATAAATGCAAAAAATAATCAAATTTCGATCAGACCATGCTATAGTGTGATGAAAGTATTGTTCCCAGAATGTGTAAATTCAACCTTTTCAATTAATATATAGGATAAATGTTACCTTTTTAGGTAAACCTCATTCCGGGTCAATTTAATTCAAAATACAAGATTATGTAACCAAAAGCTTAATGATTAGAAAGGCATGGGCGAAAAAGGCTTAATCTTTTTAGCTATCACATCCTATAGATTATGATGATTATTATCAGTGGTAGTGAATTGAATGACTTCATTTGAAATTACTGGTTCTACAACATATATGCTCCTCTTGAAAATTGCTCCAGGGGCAATTTCTGTAAACAGTTTCCTAACTTCAGCCATAGACCCAATACTATCCCTTCCCCTCTCACTAACCTTAAACCCAATTGCAACCCTAACCCTATTTCTTTGGTGAAAGAAAGCCTGGAGTAAATGTCTTCAGAGCAAATGTTGGGTTCCCAGAATTATCTCATACATGTATATGTACATGTGAATGTATGTTATATATGAATTGAACCTCCTGTTACTGTTTCAAAAGTACCCTCTACAGTTTTCACTTGGTATCTTCCTTGTATGCACATTTACAACACACAAAAGAACAAGTGCATGCAAGGTCATAAATATATTTCATAGATTAATTAGGTAATGGTATATATAGTATCAATATCTATGAAGTACATATAGTATATAATGTATTAAGTAACTATTTTTTTCTCCATTTTATCCCTGTGTGCGTTTTGTCTCTGATGAATAACTATTCACGGTCAGTGATGCATATGGGCTGTGTATTGGTAATCATTTTAATTAAGGACAAACCTAATTGCTTAAATGGAAGAATGACATCATTAAGGCCAAGTAGACTGTAGGTCTATAGATAATGAATGATTTCATCGCTATAACAATCAAGTTGATGAATCGCCCCACACTGTGTCATCATTCCATGTTATTCGGTAGAAAATAATTGTCATTTCACTTTTTTCATGAAAATTTCGAGAAGCGGAAATTGAGAGCTGAAAAAGTTGTTGTAGTCAAATATCAAAGATTGCCTGGGGATTGAAGGGTGAAACAGGCTAATTTTCATTGTTGTTTTTTGGTGCCTGCAGCCCGAGTAAATTTTCAATTATGCCTGTGTTGGGAAGTCGGACCTGTTCTTTCTTTCTTTCTAGTATTTTCTTTAAATTAATATTCTTATTTTGTTATCTCCTGTAAATTATCTTCTCCTTGTCACCTATCTGTAATTTTAAGTGTCATATAAGTTCACCTCCTACATGTATGTCTTCCATTGCTTAAAATGCAATTTGTTAATCTTCTTTATTTTAACTTTTCATAGCAATGCTTCTTTTGCTACACATATACATCTGGATACATGTGTTTTCTATTTCCTTGCTCTCTCTCCATTGTTACCCCTCTGTCTTGTTCTATTTTCTCTATCCCACTCTCCCAGTTTCTTTCCTGACCGAAACACTCCATCCCTCTCTCCTTTTATCTCTCCTTTCTCCCTCTCTATCTCTCTCCCTCCCCTTCCTTCTCAGTCTCCCTCCATTCTTTCCCTTCTCTCTCTCTCTCTCTCTCTCTCTCTCCATTCTTCCACCTCTCACCCTCTCTCTTCTCTATCATTGCTCTTTTTTTCCTTTTTCTGAATCTCATTTGTTCTATTGCAATTCGAATAATACCTTCGTTCTCTATCCACCTCTCAGTTTCTGTCACCTTTTCACGTGACTGCTTTCTCATATGTTCCATCAACCTTTTTACAAGGATAAATGGAATTGAGAGTAGTCCAAATGAGATGATCAGAGCATATATTTGTGTTTGTGTTTCAACCAACTGTCCTAGTTGTCAATCCATCCATACTTTGTCTCTGTTCATATTTGCATCTCCTGTGCCCTTTTTCCTTTCTTCCGACCCCAGTTGTTGTGTCGTTCCTGTTCCCTTGGGATATTCCAACTGTATTTCATCCCCAGCTCATCACTCCAAGAACTGTTTAATCAAATTAAAAGGATTTCATATTTGTTTGATTGTAAGAATATTACCACTATAGACAGCAGCAGTGTTATTTCTTTCCTTGTTCTTCCATATTGACAGAAACTATACTGGTCGGGATCAATAGTGCATTGGATTGGTCATGATTGGTTTAGGTTCCGTGAATTTCATCACTTAGATTGATGACCTATTTTTTCAACGTGGAATGCTAGGGTTTCATTTGATTTAGTGCTTGCCAGTGAAAAAAAAATGAGCTGGTTTGCTTGTTTCTATATTTGCTGCTGAGCTTTTTTGATCAGCAGTCGGTCAGGATTTGATGTTAATATTTCAAAGGATGGATGTTTAGCAAAGGTACATGTATACATGAATGCATTGCAAGTACCCCTAGCCAATTTGTATGAAGTGACATGCTCCTGTCAAGTTTGACATTGCATACATTTTTATCTGATCTGTGGACAGCACATTTCTGCTATGTTTCCTCCGACATTTGTACATCACATATTTCCCAATATCATTTCCTTACATCTAGTAATTTTTACATGTTACTAAGGCATGCATATTCTTGAACTCTTTTAGTTGCCAAAAAAGTAATCAATCACATAATTTTTTGAAAGAATTTGCCCTCCATTTTGATAGTACAACATGTGATAGATATACAAAGATATATACCAAGTTGATAGAAAAATATATTGTATTAATGAAAAGAAATATTGAGAGGAGGAAGTAAAATGTTTATTGTTACATTTCACTATTCACTACACATAGGATTATGGCGCATCACATAATCAACATTGTTATTCACAATGATAATGATTAACATGTAGTAAGATACATTTCTGGGGCAATTAAAACATTGTACCGCTAATTAAATTCAGGAGAGTAAAGAGCATCTTTGTTATTCCAGTTGCTTGTGGCATTCTTGTCGCAGGCATTTGTTACAGATCATGAAATAGTTCTTTAGCTGAGAAATCCCCCCCCCCCCCCAAAAAAAAAAAATGAAACTAGATATTGTGTAAAGAGAGTTCTTAATTTCCAAGACACTGATATAAACAGAGCATCATTATTACCCGGTACCTTTATATGCAAAAGATATGTTTTTCTTTTTCCTGAGTTTAGAATCAATTTTTGTTGTCCTACACCATCAGGTGAAGCGGAAAAAGCGCAGACCACACCCAGGTCACCACCACCCCCGACGTCCTCCAGCGCTGGTCCTCATGGACGGACAAGAAGCGAGGGCGCACTTCAGATGAGTCAGCCCCTCCCACCCATCAAGGTCCCATCTAATGATAATAACGAGGAAGATGAGATCATGAGGGGCACTGGGGGATCTGGTAAGAACTTATTCTTTCAACAATCTTCTTTTTTTTTTTAAATACTCTTGCACGGTGAAATTTTAGATTTTCTTACTTTTTTTACTTACAAATTCAGACTGAAAACACAAACAGGTTCCTGGAACACACTCCCCCCCCCCCACCCCTCCTCCCAAGTTTTAACATAGTACCCCCAAGTTCAGAAAATTCTGACGAGGGCCCATGAATGCATACAAGCCTATATACAATGTTAATCAGGACCCCTCTGAGTGAAGCTTTACTAAGAGATATTTTAACACTTTGATGAATTTATGAAAGTAGTTTATATATTCATTACTCAGTACGTGCTCTTATTCTGTTTTTCTTTCCCTTTTAAATGTGAAAGGCAACTATTTTTGATGATGGAAACCTTGTTATTTTGTATTTCATGATTAACACTTTGTCAATGATCATCATGTGCATATCTGAAGAGAATTCAATCTATAGTATTGTGTTGCTCTCTCTCAAATTTTGATAAACACAAATACATCAATGTATTATTAGATAATATGCCAATTGTGCTCCTACATTTGCCCTGACTGCAATCTCTCCATGGTTTATCTCCATCAAAGATATCGGGTAGGGTTGGGGTTAGGGTTGCAATTGGGTAGAGGTTTCAGAATTGTAAATCTTAGGAAGCTGATCACGGACCTATTGTTGCTGGAGCATGTGCTGTACAACTGTACAGACTTCTAATGAGAGTGATGATAAACCCTTGTAGAGATCAGTTTCTTAATAAAGAGGTGGGAAACATGAAGAGAAATTTATCTTACTTAGTGAGATGAAGAGCTTGCGTTACCCAGAACTTTTCTTTAATCAGATGATCTAATGGACTGTTGAGGGGTCTCTAGGACATTGAAACTCATGCCTTTGTAGATGGATACCACATAGCCAGAAATATCCCCTTTATCACATCTTAAGCCAATCCAACACATGCAGTCTTCTTTTACCCCCTCTTTATTGCGGATGTTCGCCCACCAAGAGCCTGTCGTTATTCTGTGAATGTAGCACTTAATGCAAGGCTCACAGTATCGGTTTACCATGCTTGCCTGTTGAGATTAGATTTGGGTTATTTGGGATACATGTGAATGATATGGGCAGCATGCACCCTTCTTAATTGGAAGCACATGGACTTTGATTGTGTTTCAACACATGTGAACAATACACTTACATTTAGATTGACAAGTGCTACTTTTAATAGTTCGAGGTCTAATTTGAACATTGTAAAAATAAAAAAAATTAAGAGAGAGAGAGGGAGAGGGGGAGTGGATGGTTGGAGAGGGACAGAGAGAGCAAAAACACATTTTTGTTATATTTATCAAGAATTTGTTTTGAATATACCTGCTGGCTAAATCATGAAATATTAAAAATACAAACATGTATAGCATAACAAGTATCTTATTTCTTACTTTTTCCCTGTACATCTCAAATTCTCAAACAGTTCAAAATAGGTCTCAGACTGCATTTAATTAAGAAACAGACGACCGTTTGTTGTAAATAGGAAGTAAAACTGAAAGCCCAAAACAAAGTTTTATTTATCACCTTAAAGAGTTATTTACAGTTTATTTATTGTCATAATTAAATTATTTCAATTTGAAGAATTGATATGGGCTTCCTTTAATGCATCTATACATCACCCTGGAGATGAATAAGTTATGCCTGTTGTATTTTAATGAGAAATTTGCACTTTAAAATCCTCAAAAGATGAGATGAAGGTACAGTGGAAGTTATGGAATTATTTCAAGTATGAAATTGATAAATACATGTAAAACTCATTTTGAGAAGAGGAATGACTTTGCCAATATTGACAAAAGTAGCACTTTTATCAATTAATCACTGTTGAATGTGTCATAACAGTGTGCGGCGTATTCCAAATGGCCTGTCTACTATTGGTTCACTATGGGAACGACACATTGTGTAATGTTGCGCACTGGGATGAGGGGATGGATGAGTCGATGCAAAATACTGTTAAGTTCATGCTAACCCCCATTAGCACATCCTCAGTTAATTAATATCAATGACGGAAAGTGGAAAGAGTCATTTATGTTGAGAGATATGAAGCCAGCAAGTGGCATAGAAAGTGGATCCTAATGCATATTTATTAGTCATTTTATGTCATACTTAGTGTCCGTCCTAAAGTCCTTGAAAGTGAGCTACACATAATTATAAATATTAGATGGCGAGAGTGAGAGAAAGAGTTACAAGAGGAATGCTTTTGTGAATGTTTAAATTGTTATTATTTATTTGTTTGTTTGTATATTAAAATTGCAGGTAGTTAGCTATTGAGACAAAGTTGCATAAATGTTTATTTTCTTTGTCTTATGAGTAAAAGATCATTACACTATAAAACGAACATAGCTCAAAGACATAGCTCACATAAGTTTAAGGTTTGATAAGTTTAATAATCATGTTTTTTTCGAAATTGTTCCATATAACCAGCAATGTTTGAGAATCTACAGGACAATTTAACAACGAGATGTCTAAAGAAATATGTTTTATAGCTAATGATGTATGAATTCATTTTAGATAAGTTCTTCCTGACCCTTATCTCTTCATATTATTTATGATATTTGAACAAGTCTGTTTTTACTCCTAATTGTAGTAAAGAAATACAAAATATCATTTATACTGCATTCTTTATGTCAGAAGAAAAGCAAAAACAGAATATTTAATAATTTTCCCTTTGAAGGGCCCTACAATTGTTCTGGAAAACTGTTTCAATGAACTATGAGGAAATACATGTATGTATATTATTGAGAAAATCACCAGAGCTAGAGCTCTCAAAGATTAGTATTCCTACTTCCTTCACAGTAGACAAATACAAAGTATCATGTGTACTGCACCATTATATTTCAATAGTAATTGATCCTATGAATTAATTATTTTGGTTAACAATTGATACAGTAGTATCATTGGCGATGGGAAAGTGATAAAAGCACTTTTACCTGATTGCCTTGCAGTACACAAACTGAACAACAAAACATGGATATTCAAGGAAATGCATTTGATATGAGGCTTCCAATGGTATTGCCTGAAATTTTGATCTATTTCTCCCTCTAATTCAGTAAACCCTGTCCCCCCCCCCCTCCCCCCATTCGTCATTGATCTTTGCTCTTAACATTCTATGACTTCAGTCCGATTTCTCTCTTAATGTGAGCTAGAAATTCCTTCTCTTTATACATCCCTTTCAAGTCTAATATTTTAAGTCGTTTATAAATCTCTATTCTATACGGGATATCTCCCCACTCTCTCTCTCTCTCTCTCTCTCTCTCTTTCTCTCTCTACTCCTCTCTCTCTCTCTCTCTCTCTCTCTCTCTTTCTCTCTCTTTCCCATCTTTCTCTTTCTCATTCTCCCCCTCCTTCTGTATGTCTCGCCTTTCCACACATTTTTCTCTCTCTCCTCTCTTTCCCTTTTTTTCTCACAAAATTCCTCCCTCTACCTCTTCACTCTTTCTCTCTATTACTACAATGTATCTTCCTCTGTGTCACACACACACACACACACACACTCTCTCTCTCTCTCTCTCTCTTTCTCTCTTTCTCTCACTCACTCACTCTCCCCATCGTTAATCATGTCATGGTTTTTATTACATTACACAATTATAGTTTCTTCTTTCACCTCATACGTGACAATGCATGTATCTTCAATAGATGTGAAAATGTTTTAGCAATATGAAAGGAATCAATCAATGATGCTATGCTTGAATTGAATGTTTCCTGTAAATAATGTACCATCAGTACACATTTTGCGGTTGATGTACTGTCACTTTTATCCTAACTGAATTATCCCCTCTTTAGGAGGACTTAATGCTTTCTCTGGATAGACACTCCAGACTATTTATAGTCCTTGAATGATTCCCAGGGATTGACCGGCCAGGGTAGGGGTGTTTATGAAGGTTTAATTTCTCTCTGTGATCTCCTTTACTCACTCTGCCTGCCATTGTAAGGGTAGGTATCTGTGTACGCACTTTGTCATTGAGTGCAGATGTTGCCCCGTTTATATTCCAAGTTTGTCAGGCATTATATTGAAATTCCACACGCTTCCATGGGTCTCATTTAAACCATATTCATCAGATTTGTCTCAAGAGGCAGACAGATTAGATTTAGATGAAACCAGCTTCAAATCTCTCATGGCCAGTGCAGGATTTCTCTCTCCCTTACCCTTTAAATATGTCTCCCTCTCTGTTTTTCTGTTTCTTGATCTGTCTTGCTTTCACTATACCTCTCTGTCTTTGCCAGTTTGTTTCTCTCTGTTTTCTCTTTGCTTCTCTGCCCGTCTCAATGTATCTATCCCCCTCTCTATTCCCCCCTCTCCCCCTTACTCTCTGTCTTGCTAATAATTGTCTGCCTTACCATTCTCTCACGGTATTTACATATTTTTCCTTTTTTCTCATTTGAAGTATAATCATTTCATGGATCTAATTACAGTGTAATTTACACCTTCTTATTTATTCCACATCTTCCTCACCCTCCCTCTCTATATCCATCATCTATCAACATTAAATATCCTGCAAATTTACATTTTTCAGTTTTGTTTTCAGGAGGTTTGTCATCCTGTCGATAAAGTTCATTTAAATGAGGCATTGTCACAATAGATTCCTTTCCAGTATTATTTTTTCACCTGCTGTTCCTGGTTTTGGTTTGGATTTTCAAATATTTGTCAAAATATATTATAAAGATTCATGTAACAGGGTATTTGTCTGATATTAGATTGTTATTGTTCTACAGTCGGTTTTAAAGAGGTTTTAGTTATGTCTTTAACAAATCATTTAACATTTTATATGGCTGTAACAGTTCTGTGCATTATAATCACCATCATGATCATTTCGACCGCCCCCCCCCCCCTTCCAATTTGTGTCTTTCTGGTTTCCTTCAGCTTCTTTGCTGGTGAATACAAACAGGTATCATACTGCTAAATGTACACTACATACCTACTGTACCATACGCATTCAAGTGAGTGTGAACACACCCCTTGTTAGTGT